TCTGTGCCAAGGTGCTGTGTAGAGATAGAGCTGGAAGGTAATTGGTGGGGCGATAGCCCTCAGGTGGAGATGAAGGCGGCAAAGGGGAATCGGCGCGGTTCAGACTCGGAGACGCGTTCGACACATTCGGGACATGGGCGGGCACAGGTTCAAATAGATCACTTTCAACACGGCCGTCGAGCTCGCGTACTCGTCTTGTGTGACGTGCGCTTGCTTCGTGGTGAAGAGCTTTCCGAAGTGGCATGCCTAGTTCTCCGCAGACAGTGCAGTCGAAGCCATACCGACGACTGCTTCTGAAGACTGGGGTCTCGTTAGTGAGGTCCGGATGACCGTGTGCAGGCTAGAATCTCGCAGTACTTACATTGTGGCTCAATAGAATCGTCTTCTGTGAGCGCCACACTGGTCTCATCGGGCTCATGCTCAGGCTGTCGACGCTTCATGTCATCTGACGACGGCAGTCAGTGCTGCGAGCACAGAGACTCGTTTGCACAAATCTTAGGCGCAAAATTCTTAGCACACGGACTCCTGATTCATTAGTGCAGAGAATATTGGCAGATTCTCGAATGCGGGGTATCTTGAGACTTGTGTGACATGGTCAGACAAAAACCAATGCTCAATGATCAGATTCCCGAATGACCGAAATCGCGCCCGCGTGATTTTCAATATCTCTCAGATCCTGTCACCTCAGTCTCATCCGTGCAGCTGTGTATCCAGGGCCTGCGCGCTTGTTCGTGCGCTTCATCATTCTCTTCCGGTCCAACCTCCAGCTTTCCTCCGACCCTTGCCTCAGCAGTCTCAGTTTATGCATACCCCCGTACTCTGTATTCCAGCTATACGTCATATCGAAACGTAGTCTTTGCTTAGGCTCTAGGATTGCTAGAGAAGAAACGCTGTCTTTTCACCCGCTGCAACATCATGTCATCAAAACGTCCTCTTTCGCCGCGTTCTCCTTCGCCATCTTCTCCGAGCTCGACAGTCAAAGCTCTGCGCACCTCGCCACCCCTGTCAGTGCAACGTCAACTGATCTGCACCCTGCCTCCGACATGCAATCCGCCAATGAATAAGCCGTGCCACTTGAGCAGCGCTGCCGAACTCGAGAGGCACTATGCGACATATCACGCACATGTGTGCGAGCAGAGAGGTTGTGGTGCTGTGTTCCCTGAAGAGAGACTTCTAGAGCTAGTGAGTGCTCCGCGATTGGTTGGGTGCGCAATAGAGGTTGACAAACGATGCGAAGTAGCACCAGACGGAATGCCATGATCCCATTGCGGCTCTGAGAAAAGAGAAAGGAGAGAAAATTGTGCGTGCTCGGTCCATTATCATCTTCTATCTGGCTGCTTACCAGACATTTTTCCCTATCGTACACCTTCCACATTTTTTTCTTGCTCCCACGCCCCATTCTCGAACGCCACACACTCGACGCCTATTCTAACTCGATGCACTTTCCGTCACATTCTCCTTGAGGAAGTTTGCCTGCTACCTCCCTAGTTGTCCCCGCCTCTTCTCAACCCCCAAAACGCGCAGACTGCACCTCATTCAAGCGCACGGTTACCCGAAGGAATATTTCTTTGCTGTAACGAACAAGGGTGTTGGAGGGCTTCTTAAGAAATGGGGCGAGGGCGCCAGCCTTGTGCGAGGCGAGTGGATGCCACGCGAGCGGAAGAATGGAGAGAACATGGATGAGGCCAGCGAACATGAAGACGAAGAGCACGCCAGTGACGAGGAAAGCGGTGGTCCTGTGCGCATACCCGCAGTGAGCACCAAGGAAGGCCAAGCTCCCGGATTCCGACTCGGTGATGGGCCTCTGGTCGAAGAAGAATCGGATTCTGACCGGGCCTCTCAGTCACAGCCTAGTGGCGCGCCCGCGCCAGAGGTCGACAACCTCACGCAGGCGGTGGATGCGCTTTCACTCGTGCCTCCGCACGTTCGCTTCGGTCGAGGCACCAAGTCAGGCGGGTTTGCGCACCCACCACGGGCACGTGACCAACACCAACAGCCACGTCGCGGTCATGCACGGAAGACAAGCACAGAAGGTATGGATATTGATACGGAGCACACGGTCGAGCGCAGGCACGGCAAGGGGCGAGGCCGAGGCAAGAGCAGAGGGCATGCTCGCCGGGTTTCGCGCGATATCGAAGGAGACTCGTTAGCGAGGGAGACCGAGGACGATGCGACGGCCGTCGAAGACGCTCATCCGGTGAATACGCGCAGGCCGCCCATGCCGCCGCGCGGGCTCGGGCGTGGACTGGGCGGAGGTGGGGCATACGGACGAGGTCGCATTCATATCGGTGGTCAGGGTTACGGACGGAGGTACTGATTCTTGGACGGGAAGAATACGTCCGGGTGCGCACTGCACACTCGGATACCCATTATTGCACGTCGTTTTCGCTGCTGAGCTTTGCTTTGTCTTATATGCCACTTTGATGATTCTTGGGGCAATTAAACGCTGTTCGCATACCAATACCCGAGCTGTTTGATATACCGGCAAATCGACTTGCTTATAGAGCAAAAAAATTCTCCACGGGTGCCAACAAGTACAAATAGAAACCATGGCGTCCAAAATATGTCTATCGAGTACCTAACCAAGCTCCAGTTCCAGGAATTGACGATCTCTTGCAAGAAGTGGCCGCAGAGACTAGTTCATTGGTAAATGCACTGTATGACACCCTACTCATCAGCTGTTCTAACGTACTTCAAACACCAGGTATACTTGCCCTATCAAACACCTCGAAGCCGTAGCGGTAGAATGGCGATAATCAACTCGCTACCTCCCGAGATCATCGCACACGCCTTCAAGTATTGTGCTTACGAGGCCCAGGAGGCATGGATCCAGTATGTCCTAGACAAGCCGAAAAACAACCAGCTGAGGCGTAAAGGCCCGCTCGTCGACGCGACGACGACAAGCGATTCAGCTCCTTTCAGCCAACCCATGAACCCGACGCCATACTACTGCATGACTCTCACTCATGTCTGCCGCTTCTGGCGCGGCATCGCTCTCGCGTACTCAGGCCTATGGTCACATGTTGTTGTCCTCGACAAGGAGGTCACTATGGAGATGCTGAAGCGCTCAGCCGGCCAACCGCTCACGGTCATCTTCCGGCTGCCTGAACGCGAAGTCGAGGCTGGCACGAGGAATGTGGCCGGTACGCGCACCGAAATATTCAAGGCAGTTCTCGAGGAGAACATCGGCCGCGTCGACACCCTTGTCACACCAATGCTCCCCGAGCTCCTTACTTTGCAATTCGCATCCAAGGCACCGCATCTCCGCCGTCTCATGTTCATTGAACCCTCTCCCGTCGTCCCTGAGACCGCAGCTAACCCCGAGACTGTCCAAGACCGCGTCGTCCTTTCCGCGCTCGAGAGTCTCGTGAGCGTTGCCCCGCTCTGGGCGCCACTTACGCCCCTGTGCGCCCCCACCGTGAAGACGCTCGTGCTGACACACACAGTGCCGCACGACGACATGAGCGAAGACGAGCCCGAGGAGGACATGTACCTCACGCGCTTCATAGAGCTCACGGATGTGCTCCGGCGTCTGCCACACCTCGAACACCTCGACGTTGCTCTAAGCGACGACGACGAAGGCTTTCCGTACAATGCCGAACTCCCGCGGCTGCGCACGCTCGGGCTGAAGACATCGACACGTATCTGCGCGTCGTTCCTGCGGTTCGTGAAAGTCCCGCAGAACACGAAGGTCCGACTGAGAGGTTTCTTATCCGATGATGTCACCGGATGGAAAACGACGGACGTCCCGAAGACGCTTGCGGAGGTCATTGCCGACCCGTCAAAAGTCGATGGCCCGAAGTTCGAGCCCGTACTTAGCGCCGCCATCTGCTGGAAAGCCGGCAGATACAAGTTGCGCGGTTGGCGCAGCGTGCAATATTTCAAGGACGAAGACCAGGATCCTGAGCCCGACGTAGACCTTGACCTCTCCGTGGGTGCGCATGTCAGCGATCTGTTGGCGGTGCTTGGTACTCTGCCCTTGTGCAGCGTACAGACTCTACGGCTTGGGTACCTGCCGTGGCCGGGCGGCGAGGAGGTGTTTGACTGCGCGCGTGCATTGTGCTTGATGCCGAACTTAGAACAGCTCGCGTTGGATCTTATATTCCCGAGCCTAGTATGGGAACTCCTTGCGATAACCCCTGCGACGCGCACGTTCTTCTCGCACGACTCATTTGAGAGGCGTGACGAAAAACGATGGGACAGGACGTCTATTGAGAAGGCCGAGAAGATGTTTAACCGTTAGTAAAAATACATCGACGCTTTGTGGATGTGCACTGACGTATAACTGGCTTTTTTGCAGGGAAATTCGAGTTTTCGGAACATTTGATGGAGTTCCGCGCTGTTTTTAACAAACGCGAGGCCTCGGGGTTGAAGCCTTTTGTAGAAATGCGCGGATCACCGGGTCGGCCTGGTGAGTGTGGCTCGGATGGTACGATGACTATGCTAACAGCATCTGTTAAACATTGTAGCTAATCTTCCGTGCGATTTGAATAAGCTTAAATGGGAAAGTGATCCTGCGTGAGGAGTATACTCATCATTATTCAGGCTCACCATAGGACGTGTAATGCGTCGGGCGACTTGAAAATACCACTAGTACTAATGGCACTGCCCTCCAAAACATTGCTCCACTGATGCTGCATTTGTGTGGAAAGTCAAGTCAAGAGCGAAGAGCGTCTAAGCTTTAACTTAGGAGGCATTTGACTGTGCGCATGCACTGTGCACCATGCCGAATTTAGAGCAGCTTGCGTTGGATTCTATAATTCCAAACCTAGCGTGGGAGCTCCTTGCGATAACCCCTGCGACGCGCACACACGAGACAAATCAAGAGATCTTTTCAGCTAAAAGAGGCACAAAAAGAGCTTAACAAAATTTTCTAAAATAGTCCAACCCTTTTAGCAGAAAAGATGTGAGAAAATTTCAGCAGAAACAGTACCAAAAAGAGGAGCATTATTTTTGGAAATGTTTCGTAGTGAAAAAGCCATATATTTGTGATGCAAAGAGTAATGACAATATCTATAGTGCTTATAGATGAACCTAGGGCATCTATTTCCACCTGAATAGGCGCAAAAGTTTCTCTTTGCATCACAAATATATGGCCTTTTCACCAAAGATATTTCCAAAAATAGTGCTCCTTCTTTTGGCACTATTTCTGCTGAAGATTCTTTGCATCTTCTTCATTGAAAGAGCAAGGCTGTTCTCAGAAAATGTTGTTAAACTCTTTTCATGCCTCTTTTAGCCAAAAAGACATTCTAATTTGTCTCGTGGCGTTCTTCTCGTGCATCCCCTTCGAGAGGCGTGAAGAAAAATGATGGAGCAGGGCATCCATTGAGAGGGTCGGAAAGTTGCTCAACTGTTAGTGGAAGTGAACTGACGCTTTGTAGGTGTGTGCTGACATATGACTGGCTTTTCTGCAGGGAAGTTCAAATTTTCAGAACATTGGCTGGAGTTCCCTGCTGTGTTTAACAAACGCGAAGCCCTGGGCTTGAAACCTTTTGTGGAAATGCTTGCGTCAACGACACAACCTGGTGAGTATGACTCGGATCACGTGGTAATTGTGCTGACAGCATCTGGCAAATGTTGTAGATGGTCTTCCGAACAATTGGGATGAATCTCAATGGGAAAGTGATTCTGAGTGAAAGGAGTATACTCATCACTATCCGGGCTCACCATAGAATACACAATACAATGAACAACTTGAAATTATCACTATTTTTTTGGTATTGTCACTGGGGCCTGGGGCAGGAGCGTGCTGTTCATTTATGCTGCATTTGTGTAATAAACTAAGCTGAGGGCACTGGCAGCATCTGAGCTTCAAGCACGTCACGCTGTATATGTTTCAGAATATCGAATCCAGATCCGAACGTAGAAATGCTGGCAGGTTGAGCAAATTTACGACCCATCTCCCTTTCACTTCTTTCCTCGTCTTGTGCGATGGCTTACCGAGTCCTCGTGAACACTGACTTTTCCTACAGCAAAATGATTTTCTGACTCACACACTAAGTCTTTGAGCATCCTCTCCTGCATATTGAGGTGCTACTGTACCCCGGGATTCTGCGCGCACACACGAGTTGTTGAGGAAAAAGTAGCGCTCGACTCCCGCTCAACGACCACAATTACTGGATCGGGAAGAACGGGCAGTGCCGATAATAAAGACGCCCAGCTACGTGTCGGGCACAGCTTGATCTCGAACACAACGCGCTCGATATTTATTCACGTCCTCTGCGGGCTGACCTGCTCTCTCCGGTACCATAATCTTGCTGCCGTATGTGCTAGGACGCCTTGCTCGTCGACCACCTCGACCTGAAGAACTCGAATCAGCACTATGGTCGACCCCATGACGCTCGTTGTCGGAGGCGGCACCTTTCTCCTGGCGTGTCTCATTTCTGTAAGTCGTCCCCTCCGCTCACAACGTTCGGAGACGGGAGCGTGATGAGCCCCTTTTCATCCTTGTTCTTCGAGTCGCGGGCTGTGTGCTCTGCACGCGTGCGCCGCGTCCAGGACGACCCTCTGGGTACGGGCTGCATGCCCTCGCAGCTGACCCCTCCACCCGTCTCCCTGCCTTACACTCGCGTCGTGTTCACAATTCATGCAGTGTTACACAGTGCTCGTTTACCTCTCGCCCTCGCTAGTCGTTCCCGACCCAAAGGACAAACGCTACCGCTCGCGTACAAACCCCGACAAGTTCCTCCTCCTGCCGTCCGTGCACGACCCGCCTGAGGTCGACCTGACTGTTGTCGTCCCCGCATACAATGAGACAAAACGTATGCCCGTAATGCTCGATGCTGTTCTTGAGCACTTCAAGACCTCACCGGCCCCTGCGAAGACTTTCGAGATCCTCGTTGTCGATGACGGCTCGAGTGACGGCACCGCGGACCTTGCACTCAACTTTGCGAAGGAGCACTCCAACTTGGACATGCGCGTCGTAACGCTGAGCAAGAACCAGGGGAAGGGCGGTGCAGTGCGGCACGGGATGATGCACGCGCGCGGACGGAGGATCATCTTTGCGGATGCCGACGGCGCGAGCAAGTTTGCGGACGTAGAGCTTCTGTGGAAGGCGATGGACGAGCTTGGTGACGTGAACGGCAACAAGCCCGCTGTCGCGATCGGCAGTCGGGCACACCTGGTCAAAACAGAAGCTGTCGTAAAGGTACGCCAGCTTGTCCTTGTCTTACAGCCCCGCACTGACACTCCACAGCGCTCGCTCCTGCGGAACATCCTCATGTATGGCCTGCACACGATCTTACGGCTCGTCGGCGTCGGACACATCCGCGACACGCAATGTGGTTTCAAGCTCTTCTCGCGGCCCGCGGCGCGGCTCATATTCCCGTACCAACACCTCACGACGTGGATCTTCGACGTCGAGGTCCTTCTTCTCGCGAAGCAGCTCGCGATCGCCGTCGCCGAGGTGCCCATCGAGTGGCACGAGGTTTCAGGCAGCAAGTTGAACGTCGTTACCGACAGCCTGCAGATGCTCCGGGACCTGCTCGTGCTGCGCGCGAATGTACTCATAGGACGCTGGAAGGCTCCGCCCGCGAATGGAAAGTAGAAATACGCTTAGGCATGGATTCTTAGAATCATTATTATTGTTATGAAACTCATTGCCTCTACACTCCGTTTCGAACATGTGCGCGATTAACTTTGCGATAAGGCCGTGTTTAAGCAGTAATACTGACCAATCTGAGGAAATGCTGAGAATGAGCTTCTCACCACCATAGGTCTATGTTTCAACGGGTCCTGCAGGGCTGCAGGCGATCAATCAGATGTAGGCTAGCGAGGTTGACCCGAAGTCGGGCATCGAGGTGCGTCCTGCGTCTCGTCGGCTGTGGTACCTTGCCAATCGCAGCCCTACAGATCTCCATCGTCGTCCTCGGCACCGTCCGCACTTCCATTGCGCAGAAGGCAACTACGCTCCCCTCGCATCCAAGCTATAGAGATCCGGTAACGCCTGCTGCGGGTGGAGGGCGGAGAAGACATACGAGCTGGCAGGGCTTGAGCGTCCGTCAATTTGGCATGTGCTCTGCCTCGACTCTCTCTGCGTCGTGAGGGCCCCTTTGAGCAGTCTCTCGAAGGAGGTAGACGAGTTCGAGAGGTGGAGTGTGGTTTGAAAGAGGATTGAGCGCTTCCCTCCTGAAGTGAGGTCGTCTGCCATTTACCTGCTGTACTAGCTTTGAACTGAACATTCTTGCAGATAGCTCGTCCGTAGAGGAAGTTGCACCTTGTGGCAGTCTGAGAATGTGGCGCGATTGTCCGGATGGGAGACAATCAAGAAGTTGATCCCAGCTGTTTTGGATGGGAGTATGCATGTGTAGTACGGTGGATTGCATCAAGTGAGCACATCATGACTACCTCTACTCTACATTCATCTTACGTTCTGGAAAGCTCAGGCGTTTTTAACGGCATCTTCGCACACCGAGATGGCCGTGTATGAGTAGCGCTCAGCGTGTATCTAACCTGGCGCTAGGACAGTTCGTCATTAAGCTCGCCGACACCTCTGCCTTGTCGGTGAGAGAATGTTGTAACAGCCTTCTGATGTCGGTATCTATATGTTTACCACAGATTGTCTGGAAACATCAAGTTGCGGCTCTGCAAGGACCGACGCAAAGCGCTGCATCGTGAGTTTCTACGGAAAGGGTGATCTCAGTGGTTTGTGTAGGAGGCAATGCTCTCTCACCCGCCTCGGCATCCTAGCCTATCCATCTCATCTCCGCCCTAGTGTCGACCTGATGCATCCGCTCAGCCTGTTTCCTCCGCTGGCGGCGACCTGTTGATGGCATCTCTCAGCTAAATTGCCACGACGAGCTCTGCAAGCGCCGATGCGCGGCCATACATATTGCGCCGGCCTGACATTGCTGGTCGACTTTTTCACCCATCACACCTACGTAACTGACTATCTGGGAGTGCGCGGTCGCCCCAGCCCTCACGTTCCTTTTGCCCTTGGCTTACCAACCAAAGGCGCTTTCATTCCTTTATTTGTCCGGCCGCCTCGTGTCCAGCGCAGACATGAGCCAGAGTACAACGGTTGTCAGAGTCGATGACCGCGACCCAACCATTTTCTACAGTGGGGACTGGTACCTCGGAGGAAACAGTGAAACAGAGTTCGACGGGTGCGTATGGCGCCTTCATGAGGTTGCAAGGTGTGAGACACTGACATTCGCGTTGCACAGAACAACGCACGGCGCTCTCACGAACGGCTCGACAATCCAGTACACGTTCAATGGTGCGTCTCCCCTCCTTCCCTACCCTCCCGCGCTGACGCGCACTCTCGTGCAGGCACGAGCATTAGATTCTACGGCACCGTGTCGGGCGCGCCGACCGGCCCACCGAGCACATCGTCCTTTGTGGTAGACAATGGCGAGAGTGTGCTAGTAGCAACCTCACAGCCGGCCGATCCGATGTACCAGTATGAGTATTTCGCGTCTGGGACATTGGAGGACGGGATGCACACACTAGTTGTCACGGCCGTGGACACTGACACGGTGGACATACTGTGGTTTGATTACCTGGAGTACGTGCTCGGAGACGCTGCAGATACGGGAGCGGGTGGGGGCGGTTCGTCTTCGCCTACTCCTTCTTTTGCCTTTTCCACAGGCATGCCGTTGTCTTCACCTTCACCTTCCTTTTCCTTCTCCACGGGCGGGCCGTTGTCTTCTCAGAATTTCTCTTCAACAGGCACAGCGTTACCGTCGCCGTCCAGCCTCACTACGTCGTCATCTGCCTCGCCCTCCTCGCCGGCTGATCCCGCACTCTCTGGTGGAACGACACACAAAGCGAGCGACTTAAAGACTGTCCTCCCTGCGGTGCTCATCCCCGTAGCAGCGCTTCTGCTGCTCTTGGGCGCGCTGCTCTTCCTCTGGCGACGCCGGCAGCAGAGAAGGCGCTATCACAGTCCGCGGCTGAACATCCTTGGGGAGGACCCTTCCGATGGTTCGTCTCATCATTGCCGCTCTAATATTCAATGCTAACTAGTGATGTAGCGCCTCCGGAGGCGAGATTCATAAGCCCGTATGCATCGGTATCCGCTCCTGCGCCCGCCTCCGAGTCTGTACTTGTCTCCGAATCTGCCCTTGCCTCCGAATCCACGTCTGTACTCACGCCTTTGTCGGCACACCGGCCGCTGCTTGCGCTGGCGACGCCGCGCGACTCCAAGGAGAGCGTCGTACTGTCGCCGTACGGAACTGGTGTGGTGCGCCGGTCGGATGCAGCTGGGGCAAGCGAAGAGGGTCCGCCGGCGTACACGATGCGGTCGTGAACGGACGCTGTTCTGTTGTGTGGAACATTTGTGCAAGTGGGAGCATGCATGCCTGGTTAGTCTTGGTGTATACCCCTATTTAATACAGTTCATGCTTGTACCTACACTCACTGTCTTTTTCCTCCAACGTCGGCTTTACTTGGGTCTTGCACGGTACAACATCCCGATATGAAGGCGCCCTGCACTAACGTGAAAGAATGTGAGTGTTCCCACAAAAAATCGAGGGGAAGTCGAGCAAGCCGGGACGAAACGTGCAAGGGGGAAACCGTAACCCAACTGCTTCAGCGATTCGGTTCAGGAAAGTACTAGTAGACCATCCAAACCGACGTGCCAGCCACACACCGTTCTCACGATAGGCAGATATTCAACTGGCAGGCCACATCTAATATACTAAATACCTCGGGCGTCAAAGCCCCTCTCACGACTCGGAGGCGCCTCTCGCGGGGGCGCTGCACGCCCAGCCAACCGAAGGTTGGCGGGCGGGCGGCGCGTTCTCATTCGATTTCTCTTCTCAGCTCTCTTCTCAGTACTCTCTGCTCGTGCGTAGCATCGTAATTAGATAGACTACCTTTCTAATTCTGCGTCTGAATGCTGGATCTGAGCTCTGTGCCAGTACTGTCTCCGTCTGGACGATCCTGTTTTAGTTTGGCCAATATACTATACGTTCCTGCTCGCGCCAATACCATGAGGATGGCCCTCAGCTGTCTCTAAAGGCTCTGCCTTCGCTTCTCCCTTACATCCAACCCCAGGTTGTGCCCTCCTGTTCGTCGCATATGCCCTCTATCGCTCTCGCTCTGCGGCCCCTAGATCTTTCTTCCCCTCTGCTTTCTCCATTTTCGGGTCTTACTTAGTACTATGTGTATTTGTAGTCTCGTGGATGCTATTGTAGTCTCTCTCCGGGTAGCAGTGAACTGGTCTCGCTCAATGAATCCTGTGAGCTGATCCGTCCGGGCAAGCCGACTATAACCGTGTCTCCTTACCAATCGTGGCCGACAAAACTTACTTATCCCCTTCACACCTGCCATTTGCACTGCGCCACAAAGCAATTCCACCCCTGTCAAAGCTTGCAAGCTTTTCCGGACAATATATATCTCGATAGACATTATACAGCATCTACAGTATCACTACCAACCAATGGCATCCCAGAGCATATAGCGTAAAGAACGACTTGTACAGTAACCGGGACAAAAGGAGGCCACAGCGAGCAACACCGAAACATCAGGGTCACTACCAGAGATAAAGTACACGGAAGTAAACGTGGTATCTACAAATATCACATGTCGAAACCAACCAAGGAACAAAAAAAAAGAGGCACCGATGTCTACACGGACTGGTACGCAGGCTCCGGCGCCGGCACCGCAGGCGGCGTATGCGGCTGCCCCTCGGGTGTCGGCGTGCGTTCCGGGAGGGGCATCTTCTCGGGCCTGCTCGGGACAGGACTCGGGGTTTGTTGGAGCGGAGCGGCGCCGCTGACGTAGTCGCGGCACGCGACGCTGGGGGGCTGCTGCACGGCGTCGCCACTGGAGCGTCTGGACGCGCCGCTGAAGCCGGAGACGCCGCTGAGGCGGTGCTCGCGGTCGCGCTGCCTGCGCTCCCAGCGCGCGCGGCGCTCGACCTCGCGGTCGGCCTCGTCGGCCTTGAGCTGGACGCGCAGCTGGACGTCGCGGTGCACGGCGCCGGTGCCGACGGCGTCCCACGCCTCGCGCTCGACGCGCAGCTGGCGCTGCACGTGCACGATTGTCGCGCCCGCGCCGAGCATCGCCCACAGCCACGGCATGCCGTACCCGAGCCCGTACGCCGTGTTCTCCGGCGCGGTCCACGCGATCGCGATCAGCCCGCCGCCGAGCACGAGCCCGGTCGCGCCCCACCAGAGCGCGAGGCAGCGCAGGAGGCGCCGGATGACGAGCGAGGTTTGGTAGCGGTGCGCCCAGGCGTGGCGGAAGGCGAGTCCGCCGCCACCGTCGACGGCGACGACGTCTTCGACGATGGTGTACGTGAGCGGGGGGAGGGGCGAGTTCGGAGGGAGGGACGAGACGCGAAGGGGGACGCGTATGTGCCGATCAAAGAGGCCGGTAACAAGCATGGGAATGGAGAAAGTAAGCATTACGCAGGGAAGCGCCATGGCGACTGTGCGAGGTGACGCGGGGTTGAGGGACGAGCCGATGATGAGCGGAACAAAGAAAGCGCAGAGTACGACGGAAACGAGGACACTGTGTGGTAGAGCAGCTCGTGAGCGAGAGAGAACGAGGAGATGGCTAAGAATACGCACTGGAACGCGTCTACACCCCAGCGGCCGCTGCCGATAGGCCTCCTACTTTCATGTCCCTTCCCGAACCAGAGCTGGAAGGTGCGCTGAGTGAGCTTGAGGCCACTGACTGTGCCAATGAGGCTTGTAATGATAGCGAGGTTCTTGGTCATGCTGAGATGGGCACCCCATTCCAGACTATAGAAGAGGATTAAGGGGAGGATGCCGGACTCGAAAAACAGAAGGGAGAAAAAGATTATGATGTACCGCTCACGGCGGTTTGTGTGGAGGGTGTAGTCTAAGGAGGGTGGGCCGGAGGAATAAGACATGGTCTCTTCGTCCTCCTCGACTTGGTCGTTCTGGGCGGTGGACGAGTCGGCGGTGTAGTCGGTGCTCGCGCCGGAATGACGAAGCTTTTCGTTGCTGACGTCGTCGAGCTTGCTGTCGACGCGCTTCTTCTCGCCATCCGAGCTCGCTGGACTTGTGGTCGACGCGGCGTCGTGCCTTGGGAGCTCTTCGGGCGGCGGCATGGTGCGGGCGTGTTCCTCGTGTTGTGCGTTCCGAGAGACAGGTATTCGTGAGAGTTCGTGAGGGGAATCGTCGGGGGGAGAGAGCGAGATGAAGAGGGCGGTGAAGAGGAGAAGGTGGGAGTCAGAGCATGGGTGTGAGCAAGCTGCGGATGCGGATGGGACATGGTGGCACTCGAGAGCCCCACTGCTTGATCGTCCGGCGCACACTCGAGTCTCGACTAGGCGCTCTCGGGACCCGATCCAGACGTCATACGCGCCCAAATACGGAAAGCGAAAGCTTGCGATCCTAACAGAGCCAAACAGCTCTGCTCGGGCTTCACGCCTGCAACTCGAGGGACTCGAGTCTCAGGAAACCCTCAAGGCTCAAAAAACCATTTGATCGTGCAGACATACCGCATTGCGGGCGGGCGGCAAGTTCGGGTACACGGCGACTCAAGTACCCAATGCCCGGTTAATGTGCTTACTCCTATCACCTGAGCCAATTCAAGATTTCGAGTCCCATTTCGATCTTAAACAATATTTCCCGTGGAAGCGGAGCAGAATCATCTCTTTGTCGTCAGCATCTTGCCTTGGCAGTGTTTGGCGCCCGGTCTGCCCCAGAGCTCCAGCACTCGAAGCCACACCCACGAGCTCCACGATAATGACGACGGAAACAGAGCGGACCATTTATACACATGTTTCGCTCCCACGGCTTGGCTCCCTCCTTCAAATAGTGGCGCACCAGTAGTCTAGACTGAGAAAGGTTTGGCTGTACCAATTTATTGAACATATTACAGTGATACAATCGTGAGTGGGGAGTACTTTTGGCCACAAACTCTAAGTGTATGAGATCATCGTCCCTCAATCCGCACGCGCCGCATCATCTAGCTCTGGAAACGACGACGGCGAAGACACCGAGCCGATTGACGCGTCAGGTGGATGGTTGTCCCGGATGTCCAGGCCATCACCATCGCCTGCCCGAATGCGGACGACGTCCCCGTCCCGGATCGTGCCCTTGAGCATCTTCTGCGCGAGCGGGAAGAGCACTTGCGTGCGCACGACGCGCGCGATCGCCCGCGCGCCGTACACGCCCGAATACCCCTGGTCCGCGAGCCACCCGCGCGCGCGCTCGTCGACGTCGATCGTGATCCGGCGCGCCTGCAGCCGCTCCGCAACATCCGCAAGCCGGAGGTCGACGACCTGCAGGATTGACGGCCGGCTGAGCTTGTTGAACACGAGCATCGAGTCGAGCCGGTTCAGGAGCTCGGGCGGGAAGTACTCCGCCGTGCGCTCGAGCACCTGCGCGCGCGCGTCGGCCGTCACGACGCCGTCGCCGTTGCTCGCCGTCCGGTGCGCGAGGATGTCCGACCCGAGGTTGCTCGTCAGGCAGATGATCGTGTTCCGGAAGTCGACCTTGCGCCCCTGCGAGTCCGTGATCTTGCCCTCGTCCAGGATCTGCAGCAGGATCATCGCCACGTCCTTGTGCGCCTTCTCGAGCTCGTCCAGCAGCACCACCGCGTACGGCTTCCGCCGCACCGCCTCCGTCAACTGCCCGCCCTCCTCGAACCCGACGTACCCAGGCGCAGCGCCGATCAGCCGGGAGATCGTGTGCCGGTCATGGTACTCGGACATGTTGATGTTGATCAGCCCGCGCTGCTCGTCATTGAACAGGAAGCTCGCAAGAGCCTTGCAGAGTTCGGTCTAGAGACAACAGTCAGAGAATGAGCGAAACGGCAAACGACAAGGCATACCTTGCCAACACCCGTCGGACCCAAGAACAGGAACGACGCCACAGGTCGATTCGGGGCTTGGAGACCAGCACGGGAAATCCGGACGGCGTCGCTGACAGCGGCAACGACATGGTCTTGGCCAACGACCCTCTGCTTCAGCGCGTCCTCCATCTAGGCAGTATCGTGAGTGAGTGGCATAACAGAGCAGCTCGCGAGCACACCCACATTGACCAGCTTCTCGCGTTCGCCCTTGAGCAGGCTCTGCACAGGGATACCCGTCGCCTTCGCCACGACCCGCGAGATGTCGCTCGACGTGACTCTATCGTGAAGCATCGTCAGCCCGCCGCCGCCCTCCGTACCCTCCTCGGCGCGCTCGGACTCCTTGGGCAGCTGCTTCTCGAGCTCGGGGATCGTCGCAAACCGCAGCTGCGACGCGCGCTCGTACCGGCCCTGGCGCTGCGCGACCTCGAGGTTGTGCTTCGCCTGCTCGAGGCGCACCTTGACCTCCTTCGTCCTCTGGAGCCTCGCGCGCTCGGCGTTCCACGCCTCCTCGAGGCGCGCGGCGGCCGCGCGCTTCTTCGCGAGCGTGTCCTCGACCTTGTTCCGCCGCTCGACGCTGAACACGTCCGTCTCGTTTTTGAGCGACTCGAGCTCGATCTGCAGCGTCACGACGTCGCGGTCGAGCGCCTCGAGCTCGTCCGGCTTCGACTCCTGCGCGAGCCGCAGCGCCGACGCCGCCTCGTCGACGAGGTCGATCGCCTTGTCCGGCAGGAACCGGTCGGAGATGTACCGTGCGCCGTACACCGCGGCTGGGGGTCGGGTGAGCAAAGATGTCAGCTTGCAGCGACGAAGGCAGCTTACCGGTCACCAGAGCACCGTCGCTGATCTCGACACCGTGGTGCACCTCGTACCGCGGCTTCAGCCCTCGAAGAATGCTGATCGTTGACTCGACGCTTGGCTCGTCGATGGTTACGGGCTGGAAGCGTCGCTCGAGAGCAGTATCCTTGCCGATAGTTTTACGATACTCGTCGGCTGCAAATGCCTTGTTTAGCACATGGCTATGTATAAGATATGAACGTGAGCAACTCACGTGTCGTTGCTCCAACAAGCTGCAACCCTCGCGCCAGGGCAGGCTTGATCATCTGCCCGGCATCGATGCTTCCTTCAGCTTTTCCAAGGTTGAACAGCATGTGCACCTCGTCAATGAAGCAGATGACGTTCCCGGCCTCGTCTTCAATGTCACGCAGCAATGCCTTGATCTTTTCCTCGAATTGACCACGGATGCCAGACCCGGCCACGATCGACGCGAGGTCGATGGAGAGGACGCGCTTGTTTTGGAGACTCTGAAATAGACGTGATATTAACGGCCCGCGGAACGCTGCCAGAGGCAAGCTGCACACGCACCTCGGGCACCTCCTTCGCGACTATCCGACTGGCCAGCCCCTCCAGAATAGCCGTCTTGCCCACACCAGGCGGGCCGATGAGCACCGGGTTCGACTTTGTCCGGCGCGACAGAACTTAATAAAGACGAGATTGTCCATCAGCAGTGCGACACCACAGCCCGAAAACACAGCCGGAAGCCACGCACTCTGCACCGTCCGCCGAATCTCCTCGTCCCGCCCGATCGTCGGGTCCAACTTGCCCTGCCGCGCGAGCTCCGTGAGGTCGACGCTGTGCTCCTTCAGCGCCTCGCCCTTCTGGTGTTGCTGCTGCCCGAACATGTTGAACCCGCCTGGCATCCCGCCTCCGCCGCTCCTCCCGCCTGGAGGCGTCGCGTACCCCCGCGCAGCGACCCGGGGTAATGAAGTGGGCCGTGTGACGGGTGTGAAAGCGTGCGCGGTCGGTATCGCGCACCTGAGGAGCCTGCTCTGTCGCGAGGCGAGCGACGAGAGCGGGCAAGTTGAGTGTGCTGCGAGTCCAAGCGTCCGGCCTTCGAGCTGTCGTAACATGTCGTCAAGAGGCAGAAGAAAAGAGAAACAAAAGATTAGGTAGGAAGTAGGAAAAGTAGTGAAGACTCTGTGCGCGAGCCGCGCGGTATTTGAGACATCGCGGCGACGGCGTCGAGAGTGTTCAGGAGCATTCGGAAAGGGTTGCCGGGCGCCACGTGTTTCGGCTCGCTCACGTCCAAACAGAGAAACCGTCGGTGATCTCAGCTCCGCCTTTCGCCGAGCTCCTCCTGATTACTTATTAGCCGCCAGGACCGCAACACAGCGAAGAGGCTGACAGCACATCCAGGTCTTAATAAATTTCACTCTACATCTACAGCAATATAACACATATCTACTAGGCTTGCCAAGGTCAACTCTGTCAGTGTCTTCGCAGAAGACATCTCATTTGTTTGTTCACAGGTGTAACCTACAGCTACACAGTGCGGGCGCGATCCCTTTCATTCACTTCTACATACGGACGTTCCACTTCCATTTTAGTAGTACGTGTCGGACTTCGTCTATGCTCGCGAATCGTCCCTTATATACTAACCACCCCTCGTTCCGACTCCTGTACGAAACGAATTCGAAGCCTGTGCCAGTTATTACCCCGTGTGAGTCTGAGTGAACTCGACGCGGCCGAGTTACAACAGGAAGAATATGGCCAACTGCATCGCTTACGAGGAGTTCTGATCTTTGTATTTTTGAGTACATATTTTATCTACCTTAATGTCTGGAACGCACCCTAGAAGTTCCCAAAAATCAGGCAGCGCGTTGTGCCGTACGCGTACCCGCCGACATCTACCGACATTCCGGGTTTATTTCGAAGACGGTACTTCATATCAGACTGTAATTTTGCGCTGGAGGGCCGCAAAACGTGATTTTTGAGATCACAGTGACCTAGTTAAAGTCCAAATCTCGACGCATGAAAAGGCCAAAAGACCTAGCCCTAGCCCTAACAAATCGGTTAAGTTTGCCCCTGGTCAACGGTTTCATATGCGTTGAATACTCCCGTGGAGCACTCTAAAGAGCGTCAACTAACATTCCCCATACACTTGAGATACCTCTCTTTCCATCGCGGCAGTTCTAAGGACGAAGGTAGACCTCCGCTGTTGTTGATACCTGCCATTTGACCTAGGTGAAACCGAATCCGAATCACCATTAAGCGTCTCTCAAGAATCTAGTGAGCCTTAGCAGTCGGAAGGTTGGCCTCGAGCGCTCGTCATAAAGTCCCGTTCCCCACCATACTGTAGTTTTACGACCGTACCAGATGGCTTTGTGAATATGATACATGTGCACCGGAATGGATGAGTGGATGGGTCATCGGTGACCTGTGACATCCGCTGGTTAACGGATGACTGAGCGTAGCTATGGTATTTTATCCGGGTGGCTTTGATGATATAATAATACATTCTATGGTCCTACAGGGCGCCGCAGGCCTGAAAAAATCGACGGACACGATGAGGGCCCTGTGACATATGACATCCGGTACGGTCGTAAAACTACAGTATGTCTACTTACGTGATCTGTACTAAGGCACTCAAGAATATACAGTCCTAAAACACGCGTCTCTAAGAGACCTCAAGCAGTAGGTCCCCATACGCCGGTGGCCCCTCCTCATACTTCGTGCCGCTCGCCTCTGACGCATGGCCTACCGTAGATGAAGCCGCGCCCGAGGTGGCATAGGTCGTTGGCAGCACGACGCTTCCTCCGTCGGACCCTCTGAACAACGACTCTGACATCGGTCGGCGCATAAGTGTGTACGTTGAAATGGGCGCTGTCGCGGTGTAAGCTTCGCCCAGCGCCGCCTCATGACCAATCATCGCCGAAACCACGTAGAAATGGCCACTAATCGCGCTGCCGCATGGGTCATCCTGATTGAGGGCGTGCTCTCGCGTGAGGTGATGGCGGCCCTCACGCCGTCGTCGGCAGCGGAGGAAGAATACGCCCAAGAGCAGCGAGAGCACGGTTGCAGGGACGAGTGCGGCGGGGAGGATAGTGCCCAGGTCGGCTGCTTTATGCGTCGCGATGGGAAGTGCCGATGGCGTTGCAGAGGAGTTGGATGGCGCCGATGTTTGCAGTACCGGACCGCCAACACTGCCCGTGCTGGTTATTGTGGCCGAAGATGGTGGCGAGGGCGACACAGGCGACACAGGACTAGCCTCACTCGGCACATATTCCAGATAGTCGAACCATATGATGTCGTTTGCGTTTGTGTTCAAGGCGGTAACAACGAGTGTGTGCGGGCCGTCGCGCAGCGGTGGCGACGTGTACCACGCATGATGGTACATGGTCTCCGTCGGAAGCGGTGCCGTCACCAGTACTTCGTTAGGCGTGTCCGAGTCCATCACGAAGGAGGACACACTTAGCTCCACCCCCGGCGATGGCACCGACACGGTGCCAAAGAATGTGATGCCTGTGCCTGTATGCAACGGTGAGTGCGAGTGTGAGGAAAGAGGAGGCGTCACGCACCGTTGAAGGGGAATGTGACTGTCGAGCCATTCGCCACTGCACCGTGCACTGTCCTGCGCCGAGGCATAATTGTCAGCTCGAGTTTTTCCCCTTGCCAGGGCGCCAAACGTACCCGTCAAATTCCAAGTCAGATTTCCCGCTTATGCGCTAGGTCCCAGTGTAGAACACGCTCGGATCGCCGTCGTCGATTTGGACTGACGTCATGCCTGCACTTGACCGACAGAAAGCGAGAGCGATAAAGCAAGAGAATGCCCGCCTGAGGTTTCTGGAGGATCGGAGGGGACCGTGAGGACCATGAATGTAGCGGTGAGCCCAGCAGAATATATATACTACCGCGTCTGCGACTTAAAGATACCATCTTCCAGGTTGTCCACTGCAGCTGATCTTCTGAATATCGCATGGATGAGTATGAGCCTCTTACAGATATGCCAGCTGATGCCATGATGGCCTTCTCGCAGAATTCGTGAGCTCGAAATGTCGGATCAGCTTCCTTCGCAAATGAATGGCCCCGGAATACAACATGCGGTGACCTTGACGAATATCAAAGATCTGGCCGACGAGACGTGCGACCTGAAGCTTCCCAGTGAAAACCCTGTCCGCCCGAAGCGACCGAGGACTGCCTGGATCTGTCGGCAACCCTCAGAGTAATCAGCAGGCGCCGGAGAAGCCCTGACGTCCGCGCCCACCGGCCGCGTCCCCACCCAGCCGACGGCGCACCGCGGCGCACCAATGCCATCACGGTCTTCTCTGTCACTTACAATAATACCTCTCCGACGCGTCCAAACGCTACCGTGACCGATTCTCCCCCAGATCCGAATCCGAGTCTGAATGCGAGGGCTTAATCTGGTGACTTCAATGTCCCGACACCGCCGACCGATGCTGCCAAACCGAGGCAGAAGTGCCCTATCCGACTTATATAAGGGCACACGCAGAAGTTACAGCTACCAGTCTGAGGTTAGAGAGGAAAGACTCGAAAAAGCGTGACGCGGGACGGAAAGTGCACAAAGCACGTCGCATCCCTGATACTGATCGGCGTCTCCTGCGCTCGGCCGATCGTGCATCAGGAAACACCGTCTGACTACGTAGCGAGGGCGCTTACTACCCTGAGCCACCGCATCTGCCCTTGTTGGGTAGCGCATGCGTGGGGGCTCAGGAGTGCCTGGTAGCACCGAGCAGCAGCACACACATTCTAGGGGTCACTATGATGTGCCAGAAATTTTATATCAATTATTCAAGCTACGGTGTGCAGATCTGTATGCAGGATACATACCCATGTCATTACCAGACCAAAATTGGATACGTGCACCAATGAGCAGCACTCCAAGGCAAACCTGCATGGGCGTCTAAGAGGCGTCTGTGTAAGTACAAGGACATCTGCCCTAATGTGTTTCCAATGAGCGAAGCTATCGGGTTATCATTTCAGAACAGGGCATTGGGCAAAAGTCACGTGACAATCAAAGCACCATGTGCGCATGTTTGGTTACTTCTCACGCATCCGTGCTGCACATCACGCCGCTCCTGAATGTGCTCCCCCTTTCCACGCTGATTTCCTACACTGTCTGCACCATGTTCACCGTCGTCATGTGCAGAGCTGTGTTCATGCATGAAATCCTGTGTTCTCTCCTGCGTGAGTTCTGCATGTTCTATCAAGCGTCGTCAGTTCCGTTTACATCTCTTTCCAGTGTCTTTTCCCGTCGCTGTGCTAGCGACTGGGTGTTTGCTTTTGTTTCTTGTTTGTGTGAGGCTTTCATGTCATCGTGGACTGGGGTCGGGACAGCACGATAGTCAGAGAGGGGTAGCACTCAGTCGATTGTCAGTCGGAGTGCTCAGAAAGTCTGCTGTTGTCCGTGGGTCTTTCGACAGAATGTATGACGACAATACAGTTTGTTACATTGGTTGTTTTGAGGCAGTATCGCTTGCTGACAATGACAACAGTATCGTTATTGTTCAATTACTGTTTGAACTGTTAATTTCTGCATTGAACGTTGCAGAACTGAAGATTGTCGCTCGTTTACATAAGTTGCATGTGGCTCGTACTGCATCCAAGGCTGTAGTCCTTGCAGCTTCTGGTGCGCATCACTGTTCTCTTGAATGCCCTCAGTCCATTGTTTTCCATCGAGCGTCTTGCAGTGTGGTGAATCTGTACAATGTGCATCGCAACGGCGAGGTATTGCCGTTATTCAATGATGTGCGGCATGTCCCATTGGTTTGTCAATGCGATGTGCCCACCTTTCCTCCCAAGGTGCTTAGCAAACGTGGTTGCGCTGCAATTGTCTCAGAGTATTGTGAGGCAATGTCGGGTGCTGCCCTTCGAAAGGGCTGCTGTGTGGTTTGTGGCAAGTTGACCTGCATTGCCAGGCAAACCATCCTGCCTGCATCATCAGCGATGTTTGCAGTGTTGCAGTGAGAAAACGTAGCACGAGTTGAACACCGTTCTTTTGCTGAGAGCGTCCCTGCGTTGGTTGGTCCTGTGTTATGCAGCGCGGGTATGCGTGACATAGGTGGTACTCGACAAGTTTCCATATGCGAAGAGTGCTTCTCTTTTTTACGTCATGGACCATTGGCTAAGCATGCTTTAGCAAATGGTTTATGGGCTGGGGACGTGCCGCCAGAGATTTCTGAGCTTAATTTTGTTGAGAAATTAGTTGTTGCACGTTATCGTCACAGTGTTTGTATCGTCTATGTTCATAAAGGAGGGAAAAAGTTGAGTGGACATGCTGTGGTGTTCTCTCAGCCTGTTGCCAAATTTTATGACCAGTTGCCTCCCAGTCAGAATGAATTGGATGAAGTTTTGGCGATCTTATTTACAGGACCTGTGTTACTGGTGGAGGACGATCTAAAGCGCACACCATTATTGATTCGACGTGACATAGTTTGCTGTGCCCTGCAGTGGCTGAAGACAAATCATGACAGGTACGTTAACATAGTCATATCTGAGGCTAATCTCCAAACTTATGAAGATGCTGAACCTCCTGTGAAGTGGTTTCACGTACAGTCAGAGGGTACTGCAATCCCAGGCACATTGTCTGTGTCTGACTGGGACGACGTACAGGGCCCAGAAGCCGGTATGTGTTCTTTCGCTGTTCATGGTGTGTCTGCTGATGAGATAACCGGCATGGAGAAAGACGCGTGTGTCCGTGAGGCAATTCAACACTTATGCACGGGTGGCATGGTGCTGGGGTATGGTCATAAACAGAGGCCTGAGTCTATCTATGGTAATCCAGGGTTGTACCCTGGTATGTTCCCTTGGTTTTTTCCATACGGCAAAGGTGGATTTCAGAATGAGGCCATGACAAAGTGGATGAGTAGACAAGAGCATGCACACCACCTTTTGATGTATCATGACCGTCATTTTCAACGTGATGAGTATTTCATTTTCCTGGTTTTTAGCCAGAAACAGATAGTGGACAGTAATTCAGGTGGGTACATATTGTCCGAGAGGAAACATTTTGATAGCATCAGTCAGAAGATATGTAACTTGGACATTCGATTGCTAGATGATTTGATCACTCACAGTGCATGCGATGGTTTCGTGGTACCTGTAGATGAACAGGAGAAATCATGCTTCGAGTTTTTGGGCTTCATAAATCATGTCGCATGTCATGTACAAGGTTTCGCTACCCAGAAAAAGTATCAGTGTAATGAAGTCTGTGCTATGTGTATGGAGTACAGTGCACCAACTTGTTTTGTCACTGTCTCTCCTGTTCCAAGCAAAAATAAGGTGGTGTTGCTTTTTGCCGGAGTGACTATTGATCTTGATGACTGCTTACAGGGAATTCCAGGATACAATGAGAGGATACGAGTGATGATGCAGAACCTGGTCGCTTCTGCCTGCTTCTTTCATTACGCAATGGGACTGTTCATCAACATCATTTTGCAGTTTGGTCATAGTAGGGATGGTGTGTTTGGAAGAACTGCAGGTTATTATGGGGAGGTAGAGGCACAGGGTCAGCTTGGATTGCATACAAACATGTTTCTGTGGATAGCTGGTGCTTTGTCTCCACAGGAAATTAGAGACAGAATTATGGTAGATGAAGGTTTTAAACATGACATACTGGCATGGCTTGAAAGTTGTCATCAAGCAGAATTTACTGGAGGAACAATGAACGAAATCACTGCACAGATTAAGGCGAAGAACAATGACGTCGATTGGGACGAGACTGTGGCTGACAAAGTTGTTCATGACATAACAACTATGTTACCTCAGCATCCACCTGATTTTACGACAGATAAAGATGTTGATGAGTGGTACGCTGATATGTGTGAGGAGACAGACAAAATAGTGTACTTATCAAATTGGCACAATTGCTCACACCGATACGGTTGTATGAACAACCCACGTAACAAATGCAAGGCCAGGTTTCTGCGAGAGACACACGACGAGTCGTTTATAAACAAAGAGACCGGTTCGATTATACTTCGCCACAAAGGGCCATATATGAACATGTATAACACTGTCTTGTCCTATCTGTTTTGCTGTAACACAGACATCATGTCCATGATGCCAGGAACTATAATTCAAGCAGTTATTGCTTATTGTACAGATTACATGACTAAAACACAGTTAAAAACCCACATTGTATTCGAAGTGGTTCGCGCCATGTTGCAGAGGGAGACAAAAGATGTGCAGGTTCATGATTCGCTGCAGTTCTCTCACAGTCTTCTGTCTAAAATTGTGAACGCCCTCACAGCAAGATCTGAGATGGGAGGTCCTATGATTGCGCACCTATTATTAGGACATCCTGACCATTACACAAATAGAAAATTCAAAGTTGTTTTCTGGAAATTGTATATTCGTGTTGTTGACCAGTACTGGGCGGAGAACTCATTTTCTGACATGGAAGTATCACAACTCCTATACTCACCTTACTGATAGACTTGAAGGGTAGGACTTGAAGTCGAAGGGTGTAAGTAGAGAGATGCAGATACTAAGAATCAACGAAGTTGTTGAGTCTGAGGTCTTAAGCCTCAGACGACGCTCCTTATATACAAGTAATCTAAGACCCCTGACACTACGTAGGACCTATGGTACTCTACATTACTAAGTGCTCATGTGACTACTCGTGACTCGTTACTAATACACTACCATTATGTTTAGTAATACGAGGAATAATGACCGTTGGAGTATCTCCATTAGGCTAAGCTATCCACCAGGTGACATCACTCATGTTGTCATGACATGTGACTGGTCTAGAACGAGTTCTGGACTTGTAGTTATCTTATCTACTAATCCCATCATATCTATATGATGATCTAGGTCTCATGATATGCATGTGACCGTGTAGGTCACGTGATCGTGTTTAGCGCGATACTGGGCGCTAAGAATATAATAGGCGCTTGTATGGGGCGAATTTGTGACAGGAAGACGCACCTGACGAGGTTGTCGTCGGGTCTTCAAACGGTGAGATAGTACCTGTACAAAAAGTCAATGATTATATACATCGTGCCGTTGACCTGGAACTGATGTCATTGGTATAGTTTTTACATCTCACTGATGTCGTACAGTTTGCGCCCAAGTCAAAGCCTAAGGTGGGTGATGAATTTTTAAGCGAGAACAACAGTTCTGATGAAGAAAACGATGCAGACCACCTGCGTTCCAAGTCAGTACTTCCATTTTGTCAGAGACATTCGCTGCATAAAACTCATGGTGTTGTTCGAATTGATCTGCGTAATCTATATGTGATTAATTTTACAGGCGGCATTTTGCCTAGAAAAGATCATGGCAATCGTGAGCTGTACTGTAGAGTGATGTTAACACTTTTTTCTCCAGCAGATTGGCGCACAGGGGCGGAACTGAAAAAACGTACCGAGAGCTGGAGTGAAGCGTTTGCAAGGACCATCTTCTCTCAGTTTGACTTACGAATGATGCAGAATATGAATGTTCTATATGAGCGTTATGACGCCAGTCATGATCTAGCTGTCAAAAATCGACAGGTTGAAAATAAAGATATGTTGGCAAGGTTATTTGGTGAGGCCGCAGTTGAACACGTCAAGGACCAGATGTTGGCTGTAGATGCAGTTGAGAAAGCAACTGATTATAATTTTCTTGAGCTACTGGAGCAGTTTGTGTCGCAAGAATCTAGATATGCCAAGTGTCAGCATTTGGAGTTGGATGGTATTCGGCGCAGCTTACTAGAAGTAGATGCCCAGGGTTCTATTATATTTCCTATCGTTAATTCTAGCAAGATTCCACGAGCTCTGATACACACCAATAAAGATGCAAGCTTTTGGCGTGACATATTGAAGGTGACGAAAGAGCAGGTTATTACATCACGTTATGACCAACGCAAGTCTGCTGCCACTGCACATAGCCATGTGATTCAGCTCTCACGTGGTCAAGATGTGCAGGAGAATACAGATGGCAATGTCCGTATATTGACTGCCGCTGAAGTTCTCAGACTTAAGGCTGCAGCAACAATGGAACAACAGGCCATGCAAGACAATTTTTGTAGTACTAAGAGCATTGAGCCAAGTGCACATATGAGACAAATAGCAAACAGGCTCACGTTGAATCCCAAACAAAGTCGCGCATTTTTCATTGCTGCAAGCACAATAATTTTGGCAGATGCTCCACCGTTACGCATGTATCTTGGTGGCAACAGAGGTACCAGAAAATCTATGGTGGTGAAAGCTTTACGCCTGTTTTTTGAAGAACGGAGAGAATCATACAGTTTTCTGGTATTAGCCCTGACGGGTAGTGCTGCGGCAAACATCGATGGACAAACATACCACCAGGCACTGGGTTTTGGTGCACGAAATCGACGATCCAGCAAGTCGAACTTCTCACACCTGCACGACCAACTATTCAGTGTTAGGGTGATCCTTGTAGATGAAATATCTATGTTATCTTCTCCAAATATGTATTACATTTGTGAATAACTTAGCTTAATTTTTGACCTACCTATGGAAGCTTTTGCAGGGCACCATGTAACCTTGGCAGGCGATTTTGTGCAGTTACCTCCACCTGGTCAGTATGAAGTGCAACCTTTGTATTGCTCTACAGTTGGACTGACAACATGTAGCAGTACATTGAGTAGTCAGGGAGTGGCTTTGGGTCGGGCACAGTGGCATTTTTTCACCACAGTTATCATTCTGAGAGAGAATATGAGACAGAAAGCGTCGTCTGATGAACAAGAAGCATTCATAACTGCATTAAAAAATATGCAATACAAGGCTTGTACACCTCAGGATATTGCTTTGTTGAAAAGTAGAGTAAGTGACGCACAGCATAACAGACCACATAAGAGATCCTAGGTTTCAAAACGTGTCTATCATCATAGGTAGAAATAAGCACCGAGACATCATTAACGACATCAGTACTCACCATTTTGCAGCACAGCACAAACTGAAGTTGGTTACGTTCTATTCAACTGATACGTGGGCACCTACAACAATTCAGAATGAGTTTACGGTCAAACACAGGAAAATGCTGAAGACGACCTTTGATCCTAGTCATCTGTCCAATACATTGATAGATGACATGCAACAGTTATTATGAGATTTACGTCCATCAGAAACTGAGAACCGCGCTAGATTGCTATGCCTTTGTCCAGGATTGCTGGTCATGCTGAAATACAACGAAGCAACGAAGCTGTGTGCTATCGATGGGGCAGAAGGCACTGTAATCAGTTGGGATGCAGACAAGTCCAATCCTGATCATCTTCATCTACAGACCTTATTTGTCCAGTTAACAAATCCTCCACATGCTGTTCACATACCAGGCCTTCTCATTAATGTTATACCTGTTCCTGCCATTCAAGAAACTATCAGATGTATGTTACCTAACAGTTCTGTTGTCAGCATTAATCAGAAACAGGTCCGGGTGTTACCAAACTTTGCCATGACAGACTTTGGTTCACAAGAAAGAACCAGACCATGTAACCCAGTCAATTTATGGTATTGCATTACTCACCAATCCATTCATACCGCAATATCTCAAAGTCCTACCCTAGACGGATTACTCATTCTCTACAATTTTGATGAATCTCGAATAACAGGAGGAGCGTGCCTTGACCTAATGCGTGAATTCTGTGAGCTTGAGATACTGGATGACATTATCACACTACGGTTTGAGGGCAAGCTTTCTTTCGACGTTACTGGTCAACCGCAAGGTTCGTTGATCAGACAGTATTAGCAATGGAGAGGTATTCATTACGTACCATTGAATGTTCATCCAGCACTTCGTTGGGACACACTATCGCCTGATACATTGACTGCACCTGTCCTTGCAGCAGAATGGAGCCTTCTGCTGCAGTGATTGTACCTTTGAAGCGACAGCATAGTAACTATGGTCTACAGTGCATACTGCCACCATCTGTACGTATGCAGCTTTTACTCATCGCACAACCAGCTTTCTTACAACACCACAACCATGTCTATTTATCTCACCAACTTACCTTCTGAACTTCTCATCTACATTTTTCTTTTCCTTTCAACAGATCACAAAATGACGTCCAACGCTGCTCATGCCAATTCTATGTGCCATGTTCATGTCCAACAAATTATCTTCAGACATCTTTTCTGTCCTCTTGATCACCAGCAATTTTGTGACTTCGTACACACCTTTCAAAGTCAACAACGTCAGTGCAACATTGTTCGTCGTATCACTGTTAGTACCAGTGTCCACTGTTCCTTCATAGCTCATGACAGTACTGCGCTGTCTCCTGTCATACTTTGTTTCATCCTACATCTGTTTTCCTTTGTGCACACCGTTGGTGTTCACAATGCATTATGGACATCTTCCGAGTTGCTTACTCCTCCACTACATTTTTCACACTTTGACACTCCTGGCACAATGTTGAATACCCTTGCGTTTATTAACGTTCACATCTCTGCTGGTTCTGAACAAAATTTCATCCACTTTGTTCATCCCTTTCCCTCCATTTATGGTGTCTGCTTAATTGGATGCAGGAAAGGACTGATGAACTCCAACACTATGCCAGGATTACAACAATGTTCTTTTGATCATCTTTGCATCAGTTTCAATGTCAACGAACGCTGTTGACAACACAGATTTACATCTGTGCTAACCTTGCCCCCTACTTATGACAACTTGTCTGAGCTACAGTTGTGCAAAATTCTGCCAGAAGACATAACGCAAGTCCAGAATTTGCTGCATAGCACTGCACCTACTCTTCAGTCTCTATGCCTGGATTTCCTATCAACTGCTCTTCGTGCGTATCACATTATATCATGCTCACTGGTGCTAACCCGTACACCACAGCTGATCTTGACAACAATGTGTACAACAATCTCAGCTTAGATCATTGTACTGCACTTCGTGTGTTGTGTTTACCCATTCACCACTTTGTTATCTGACGCGACAAAATCTCATTACAACACCGTATCCTGCATCGCTTCCTGACGCAAGTTCCGCAAGCAGTATCTTCTCTCATTTTCAGCATACCATGCGATGCATTTTTTAAAACAGAACTTTTTATCAGAATCGCAAGAACACCGTGGGGTCGCCTATTCAGCATTATACATGACTTACCCTGCCTGCAGTCTCTACATCTGTACATTCACTGTACACGAATCAACGTTCCACGTCTCTTATGGCAGTCTCAGTTTACGTTGGTTCTAAATTCCCACCGTGATGTCTTATCCGGTGAGTATCTCATCTCGTATCATTTATATCTTTCTCTGACCAAAACTTAGATCATGTAGTCATCTCCTGCAGTCAAGAAACCCCGAATAAAATCAAACATGTAGTTGCTTGGCTGATGCCTACGTAATATACTGTGGTGAACGTTCTGCAAGTAATTGCATTGCTTACATAAATTGCTCTATCCTGTAACCTTCACTAACTGGCACTCTATCTTCACAGCGTGTGACCTGTATACTATATACTGCATACTGAAATTGAATATTACTTGTCCTTCTATCTTGCTCATGACGTACACCCACTCATTCAATTGAACCACAGGCTGTGAAGCAATCGCATTTATTACCAGTGATCAAGTCTCCTATACTTTACTATCACGTTCACGCAATACCTCCTTTTCAGCACGTTCGATCACTATGGCATTCTCTGCTACAACATTTACTCTAAACCGGTCATTAAGACCGCGTGCCCACATAACTTGATGGGGAACATCTTTCTCATATCGAAGTCACACAAACTCAACGCTATAATGTACTTGGATTTCTCAACTTACCTACTCACTGTCCACAACACAGACATTGAGGTATTAGTCCTTCCATGCATGTACAACTAGTACTTACTGCGTATTTAAGAATTCCAGCTGGTCACATCTATGCCTACTGCCCAATGCCCGTCTGTATGAAGATGACTTTACTCAACTGCACATGGTCCAGATGTATGCCGAAACTGATTACAATCTACGCCCTATGACATCTTCTCCTTTACCCAATTTCCATTGGCATTCAAATATTCTCTCCAATGATCATGATCGCCCTGCGATGTTTGGCACCCTTGGCCTCCTGAAACAGATCTCTGTCACTGACCAAAGCAAGAATCCTTGTCCTACAGTGTCTGTCGTCATTGAACCATTACGCCATATTGGTGCCTTGTCCACTGACTACTTACGCTGCGCCTACAACCAAAATGGTACGTCAATCCACCATATTTCATGTGACTTTATTCATGTCTCCTCTTCCAGTTCACACACTGATGTCTCCACCCGTCGTCATCCAATTCAAATTTCCACAATGCCTGCCGGGTAACATATGTCCATTAGCCATGTGACATGATCATATAATCTTCACTTGTTTGCACAAAAATTGCTCGTATCCATTCACAACGGTGCATACGACGACGGCGACCCTCAGCTGTCTATGACAAAAATAGACAGCAATACATTGAACATTGATAATGTGCTGTACATATGCAGTGTCTTAACTCAGGAAACACATGATACATTCTGATGTTTATCCCATGTAACACGCATTCTAGACGCAGTCTGGTACATGTGAATGGTACTTATATAAACATAATATGTCAGCCGTAATTCACACCACTTTTCAGCCACAGACGTAACAACCGCGTCCAATGCCGTTACCTTGGCCGCCGCAAACTGACAACTTCTCCTTGTCACCATGCCGTCATATTCCACATTGCCCCCAGAAATAAGCTATGAAATATTTGAATGCTGTGAAGACAACCTTCACACTGCCCGCCAGCTATCAGCAGTTAACCGCACTTTACGCACTGTCAGTGCACGCCATCCAGAGTTATTTGAACATATATACTGCCCTGTCACCAACCATTGCGAAGACGTCCATGCATTTATAGCTTCCTTTACTCGTAACCACGCTCTTGCTGCTGTTGTTCATCGTCTCACAATTATAGAACGCGGAATAACGCAACTCAAATTGCATGATCCCCTTCGACGACAACCTGTCAATCTCTATAACCATGACGTCGGCCATGTTTTATCTCTATTCTCCACATTGGACAACGTCGACATCGTCAGAACCAACTGGTCAGCAGTAGACCCCGAGAACGGCACCATGCCCACTTCGGTCCTCTCTGACTCACTCGTCAGACTAAACATTGTTGGCATGTGCATTGACCTCAACGCTATGCAATCTTTTTTTGTGACTGTATTGCACATCCCAAACTTGAAAACTGCATGCATAGAATCGTATCACAAACATTCACTTCTGCCCATTCTACCAGAACACTCCGAACACGTTCAATGGACACAGCATATCAAAAACCTGGACCTTGATCTCAATTACGCGACCAGTTTCACCATTTAATGGGACTCCTCCTATCATGCTGTTACCTCATATGCATCATGTTGAAGATCTCCGCGTTTGTGGCCTGTGCATGCACAAAAGACAGCACTTTCATCAATTACTCGAGAAGAATCTTCACACTCTCCACACCCTGTATTTAGAATTGGCCCATCCACAATATCGTATGTTATCTGCCTTTCCCGTCACACAAATTACACTCAACTACTGCACAAGATGAGTTGAACTGGCATCATTGGTCCAACCTCCCACTCCGATCTTGTCACTGTTTATGGTACATCTCTATTGTTGTATCTTGCTTCGGTACCACGTTCTCTCATGCACTCGCGTTCAGTTCCTGATTTATCACCGGCATCATCATGTTGCCACCTTACTCTGCCACAACCCTCACTTTGAACTTTGACATTACTACGTATGAAGGTGACCCGTACGACAACAATGATCTAAAAGCTTTGCTGCAACGTCTTGACTGGAACCGCATATGCCTCGCTATCAACATCTCTCCTTTGCAACAACTCATGTTGACTCTTTGTTGGCAAAACATGGACGAAGTAACAACATGGAGTGCAGAAACAACAATAGCTGCTAACGAATGCACAGCCAGCATACGCGGTAATCTCATTCTCAATCGCTTCTTTATATGCTAATGTAACCATTAGAAACGTGTTCTCTATCGCTTGCAAATCCTGTTGTATATGACAAATGGCATCACTTACGTTTGCCATGCGGCAACAATTTTATTCTGTAATAATCATTACAAATATACTCCCTTTGCGTCACACACCCCCAGTGAGGCTGTCCTTTCAAAGCAAACGAGCGCATTGATTCTTGACAACCGAGGTGTATGTGTATCCACAAATGCTGGTATCCCTGCTGACATGCATAGACCTGCTGGAGCAGGTGAAATCACCGAGAACACTTTGCCATCACTGATCATACCACTGAGAAATGCAAGACCGCTGAAGCTTGCATGCATCCATGTGGCTGCACAAGTTCACGAACCTCCTCTCCTCATACGCCCCTCCCGCACACGCACACACACTTGCCGTCTGACGCTGCATCATAGCCTGCAGCGCTCGATGCTATCCACGCGCTTGCTTCTGAATTGGCGCAAGGCGTTGGTGCGGGTGCTCACTAATGGCCCACCGTTCGTGGGTGAGACAGGCCTGAGCAGCATGCACTTCACACACAAGGCGTGTGTGAAGCGCAGCACATCCGCGACGCTCCTCAGCATCGATGACAGCACGTGGTTAACAGTGAGAGCTCGCACAACATGCATTCCTTGTTAGAGACGCCACAGGTGCAAGATATTGAGCTCAGGCATTTGTGTTCGCTGTCAGTGGATTCGGCTCGTACACCTTAAAAATAGACCCCCAAGGCTCTATACCACAATGTAATGAACAAAATTCATGATGATAATCAAGCGCTTAATGCTGCCAAATACGATATTTGCTGATATGATTCTGAGATATCTTTCTACTTCTATCACTCCACATGCGAGAATCACTGAACAACAACAACACACGGGACATGCCTTGTAACTACTTATTCTCGCTGCATATTAACAAGAACAGGTGGACATGCACACATTCATGGCGGCTGACACCAACTAATAGCAGAGAGCAACACGTACAAAGCAATCGGACCCTGTCAAGCATGCTCCGGGAGCTCTCGCATAGAACGTTATCCACCTAGATCACATTTGGGTCTTGCCGTTGCGATGTGCATACTTCTAACTTTCCGCCCACATTGCGTCCAGCTCGTGAACCGAGTCTTTGCCGAGGGCTTTGCACAGCTTGCGCACAACCTCGCTGCTGCGGCTGAGAGGCGTCACATCGTTCACTGCGCTGTAACGATCATACCACTAACAACTACACCACAACCGGCTGAGGCCAACAAAGACAATAAAGCGGCTGTGCAACAGTTTTTTGTACCATGGAGACGAGTAAGTCGAGCCTGAGTGTAACTTGTGTGCGGAGTAAAAGAGAAGGGTGCAGTTCTCGACAAAGACCAAAATGAATCAGTGGCAACATCGAGCCACTGTAACCCTTTAGCGCATTCTCCCCCACACAACCACCATCGCAGGGGCCTTTGCAGGCCTACTAGTGGCGGCGTCGTTCACCCTTGCCGTCTACTTGCCACACGAAAGCACAAAAACAACATGGAATTCCTGCATGAACGCCTGGTGAGTTGTACAGTCAAATCCCTCTTTCTCCACCTTTCTCCATATAATCACGAATATACCGAACTTGGCCACAAAGCCCTACATCCACCACGCCGGTAACATGACGCAACTCTGCACAAGGTGCTACAAACACAGAGTCTGACTGTAGACGTGGGAGCCATACATAATACCTGTAAATCATCACCATGCAAAATCTGGATAACTTTACTCACTGTCTTCCCTTGCGGACACACGTCTGTTATCATTTCTCTCGGTAAGATGGGTAGTTTGCGCATATTGTTGGAGAGCACACCCGCACAGCCACTCCTCAATATATAAGCTCTGTCAGACCCCACACCAAACCCCACTGTGACGTCACTGGTTATTGCGTTCACTTTTCTTTTCATGTAATTATCATTTTACATCACTTATCTATTCTGAATTCTCAGCACCATGATCACCAAATTTGTACAGCTACAAGCGTTCACCGCCACCAATGTATCCACCACAGGATCACGTATACCAGTCACCACCATTAGATACAACATCGACCACCTATTCAATATTCTGAACTTCCACAACGTCTTACCACGCAGTCATGATGCTACACGCGTCTACTCACAAACAGTCGAGCTCGGTTGCAACTACAACTTACACCGTGCCCATACTTTTCTTGTATTTTGGACAAAGCTGCCCCGGACGTCACAAATCTTCTACCACTTCCTGAATGATGCTCCCTTTCATTGGAATGGTGAATTTCTAGTCTTCAGACTTCGCAACACAGAGCATGCGCAGACCTTTGTTAACCTCCGTCAAGGCGATGCACCAATGTGTCGACTGGCAATCAACATGTACATCAGCTCCATCTTTTCTACATCACTTCACCCAACTCCATATAGAGTCACAAATCCCCGTATGTCACTTAACTCACTAACAGGAGTTCTGTTATAAGTCTTTCACACACAGCTACACCATTGTCTCTCAGTCCTCCACCTGCACTGCTGTAAACGACACCTTAAACATCGACAAACGCGTTAACTGTATACACCCTTGGGACTGCCCGCATTTACCATTGTATAAAATACGTAGTTACGCAACTGATTCATCTGTCGTACAATGTATCGCTATTTTTTCGCGCAACGCATACACGTCTTCGTGAATCGGATAGGGCAGGCGTCAGTCTACTGCACACAAGTGGATGATGGCACAAACAGACGAAGGTAAGCGCTCCAACATTTTGTCATCCCAGCTTACGTCCCAGCCTCCACATCAGTCCATCGTAACGCAGCTCAACTATCCCTTCGGTACGCTGCTGAGGCTACAGCCGTCACAGACGCCTCATCCTCCATGGGACTCTGGCAGAATGGACAAAAGCCAGCCACAATAGCCGAAGCTCCCAACATCCCTGGACCCCAGGCATACTCCCACCAACATGCCGCATTGCCATTGGCGGAGCAAGCACGAAAAACAACAGTGTGCCCTAGGGCCGTGCCCCGTCCTGCTGAGCGAAGAGCTTGTGGACTACGCAGTAAGCATTACGAACTGCGAATGGCTGCGAAGGGTTGGATCGTCCTCTAGCCAGCATATCACTAACTTTTTGACTTATCAGGCTAGCGTGTGCACATGCTAGATCCGGATACAGGTGGATGCGGATGGCAGGACTACAGGCCGCGGACAAGGTAAGTATTTTCTCTGCACGACTTGGCTATCACTGAGCTAACCTTGCACTAGCTCATAGAAGTCTGGCTATGCTGGTCTTTCCACCATAGCCTCATGATTATCAAGTCCAATACCGCTTCCCAGGCCAAGTAGGGTGACCACTGTTGAAGAGCCTGGCACTTAGGTGAGTACTACCTCTTCTGTTGTTATCATGAATAGCTCTGACTCATATGTTGCAGATCTATTTTTGTGCCTACCATTTGCACATGCCGCCAAAGTTATCATGACTATATGACTGCGAGAAGGATGTGTAGCATACCAACATGTACTTAACTTGATACATATTTAAATGTATATATATATATATATATATATATATATATTTCCCTCATTAATGTCTGGTGTGACCGTGTGCACCCTCAAAAGTGGTAACATCTACTTGCATCTACAAACAAGCTCCCGCCATGCTGCGGTGAACTACTGAGCAAAGGCGGGCAGCTACTGGTGCCACGGAGGCACAGTGAGAGCCGCAGGGGGCTGCCAAATTGGGTACCATTCTACCAGTCTACCAGAAACCCGCAGCACCCGAAGCGCTGTGTAGCGCTGGCGTTGTTTCCTGATGTGCCACATAAGAGTACTCACACTCGTTTACGCTGGCGCAGGTCGCCTTCATATCAAAACACTGCGCCATGCAGAAGTAAGGTTGATGTTAGAGGGAAAAGGCAACGAGCATACATACAGTCACAAACTGCATCAACTACAGAAAAAAATGATACGACTAATCGGACATGCGCGCTCCCATGATACACGCACGCAAATGCTCCCATAAAACATAAAAGCGTCCGTTTTGTTCACAATAGCGCCGTATATGCCGGAGGATCTGCCAGAGCCGCATCCGACCGGCGCACTGCGTCAGTGCTGTACTGCGACATCGGCAACGAAACGCTCTCCTTGGAGTCCCATGGTGGTATCGACAGCACGATGCTCTCCCTGGATTCCCACGGCGCCGACGGAGAAGGAAGCGAACGGTTTAATGACGTGGGTGTAAGCATAGATGTAGAAGTAGGCGAAGGCATAGATATAGAGGGGGGTGCGGACATAATTGTTAAAGCAGGCGCAGGCGCACGCACGGTAGTGTACGGGCTTATAATTTTCGCCTCGGGCGGCACTACATCACCAGTCAACAATGAACATTGCACGCTAAGAGCGGATAAAATGAGACAAACCATCAGAAAGGTCCTCCCCAAGGATGTTTACCCGCCAGCTATCATAGCGCCTGCTCTGCTGCCGGCGTCGCCATAGGAAGAACAGCACACCCAGGAGCAGCAGAAGCGCTGCTGCGGGGACGATCACAGCAGGGAGAATAGTTCTTAGGTTGCTCGCTTTGTGTGTCGTCCCAGAAAGCGCAAGATTAGTGGGCGAGGTGGGCGAGGAAAGAGACGGCGTAGAAGAGCCAGATAACGACGGCGCAGGTGAAGACAGACCGCCCCCACCCGCTCCCGTGTCTGCAGCGCTGATGAGCGCATACTCCAGGTAGTCAAACCACAGCATGTCTTCCTGATCGGTGTTCACGGCCGTGACGACCAGCGTGTGCATCCCATCCTCCAGCGGCCCCGATGCGAAGTACGCGTACTGGTACATCGGATCGGCCGGTTGTGGCGTCATCACTAGCACCTTCTCGCCGTTGTCCACCATGAACGACGACGTGCTCGGTGAACCAGTCGGCGCGCCTGGCACGGTGCCGTAGAACGTGACGCTCGTGCCTGTATGTGGGTATGCGCGTCAGCGCAGGGAGGCAAGGGAGGGAGAGAGACGCACCGTTGAATGTGAATTCAATCGTTGAGCCGTTCGTGAGAGCGCCATGTGTTGTCCTGTGAAACGCGATTGTCAGTGCATCCAGGTATCAATGCCATGGGGCCTGATGAAGGCGCCACACGCACCCGTCGAACTCTGTCTCATTATTCCCTGCAAGAGACCAGTTTCCACTGTAGAAAACTGTTGGGTCGCGGTCATCGACTCTGACGACCGTTGTATTCTGGCTCATGTCTACGCTAGACACAAGGCGGCCAAACAAGTGAAAGAGTGAAAGAGCCTTTGGCTGCTAGTACCGAAGGCAAAAGGAATGTGGAGTCTGGGGCGACGGCGCACCCAGTAGATAGTCTGTTACGTAGATATGGCGGGTGGGAAAGTCGGTCAGTAATATTGTCAGGCTGGCGCATGCGCAATATGTATGGTCGCGCACCGGCGCTTGCAGGGCTTGTTGCGACAACTCTGAGACGCCATCAGCGCTCAGCAGACAAGCCTACCCAGATTTTAACACTTGTGAGTGGATGGCCGCAGGGTGGATAGCTTTCCCGCTGATGTCGTAGATCAGCCGCGGGGGAGCGGGGGATCAACGCAAAACAGATCGGCTCCCCGCCCTAAGTCCCGCCTCCCGCCCTTGGCACGTGACTAGAGCGCTGGAAGGTTTCGATTCCGTTCTCTCCATTGGTCTGACCGGAGGAGTTGCATGAAGGCTTAGCTGTCTACTCGGAGTCTCCAAGGGAGTCTTCAAAGTTGTTGTCAATATCACTATTATGACTAGTTGAGAGCTTTCTGCGCAACGCGTTCGTGGTAATGTATTGCCAGCACCCTGAAGCACCCCTTAAGGCGCGGCTTTGTGCGACTAGCCCATTCTTCTCTGTCCATGGTAACTGTACAGCGTGTTGGGCAAACTGCCTCTTCAAAGCCTCACAACCGTCGTCAACAGTTTCTATTTGTCTCATACAACTAGACCTGCCTGTTCTGGCACTCGAGTGCGGGAAGACGGAATAGGAGCTGATCTGTGCACGACGCATGTCTCACGGCTAGTCTATGGAGAAGCGTAAAAGCCGTCCACCCTGCGAGATTGCTCAAAGCCAAGCTAGCCCATACCAATCCGTCCCGCCCTAGCCAATCTATCCAATTTGGACCTGAGTACGCTGAAACGGAGGGAACAGGCTGAGTGGTTGCATCGAGTCGATAGTAGGGCGGAGATGGATCGCCTAGAGTGTCCACGTGGAGAAGAGTTTCATTGTTCTGGGCTTTGATGCCTCAGTTTTAACCGCTGCGACCAGAACTTCAACAGAAATCATGAGACACGCCAGGAGGAAAGTGCTGCTCTGTGCTGTCTCCCACACCGAGTACCATGAGATAAGCCACAGTCTTCAGACAAATGTTCCCTTTCTCCGGCGGGGGTTCGGCGCGACGGAGAATATTGCTGCTGGTTGTCGTGCTCCAGGGCCGGCGGTATTCTTGCGATGATGTGGCCTGGGATGGCGGTACAGGGAGACGCTGGCGAAGATGCGAATAGACCCGACAATGGAGAAGACTAGATTTTACTACTCCAGCTGGTATTCTGGCAGGGCACGGTGTTTTGATCCGCGATCTGCGAGAAAAGCGCAGCGTAGCAAGCAACTGCGTACCACTCCGCCATCAAATCGAGGATGAATGTAGTCTCGGTTCCAGACTCTCGATCCGCTATTAGAGAATTGTAATGGGGGCTTTCGGAGTTTGAAATTTTCTTTGCAGCGGTGCGAATGGAGCAAGCTCTGCAGCAGGACTTTGAAAGCCGGCTAATGAATCATTGTGGATGATATGTTTCTGCTCTCCCCCGCTTGCTCAGCGTCCTGGAACCGAGACTAGGATGAATGCAGCTCGGTGGCAGGGAGAATTATCTAGCGATTTAAACGATGCTGATATAAGGTATGCATTGGGTTGGCATAGCAGCTCAAAGTAAAAGGTGTGCATTACTCGCAACAATCAGGACAGCTGTGGACTATGGACGCTATTACTGACTCCGTTACTTAAATCCAGATTTCGCTCGTGCGGCTTCTCTGCCGTCCCGATAGGAAGTGTGATTGTTGCCCCGACCAAGTTCTTTCCCTTCACCAGCACAGCCTTGCTCCAGAACTCCATGCAAACCAAGCGCGTCGTGGCGATTTGTTGGAGCGTGACGGACAGGTCGTACTGAGGCTTGAGCCCACGGCGACCCGGCTCCGCCTTGTTTTCCTGGAACGTCCACTCGGCGACGTTCCCGTGTATACCTTGACCTCGGACTTGAGCGTACGTCTTGCGCGTGTATTCTGCGCTTTTTGAGCTAGTCGCTGTGCTTCCGACAGAAGCTGATGAGTATCCCAAGTTGAGGCTCGCACTTCTCTCCGAGCCCCGGCCGATGTGCACGTCCGCTTCGTCTTCCCGGAGGTCGGTCGGATAGAGCTCGCGTATCTTCAGAGGCAAGCGCCGCTCCTGGGCGTCGTAATACCAAAACGTGACGCGGAAGACGGCGGAGACGAAGCGTGCGTCGATATTGACGTCCGGGCAAAACCCGACGCCAAGCGCGACCTTCGCGTTCCTCACGTCTTCTTGCGTGTACGATAGCGTGATATTGAAGTACGAATCGCCCTCGTTTGCCCTTCCGATCTGTAGCCCTTCTCCGTCTTCTGACATGACGAATTTGCAGCCAGGCTCGGGATCGAGAAACGGTTTGCGCTTCCCGAGCAGCCGAAATCGAGGCAGAGGGCGATCCTGGTGCGAGCCGTGGCACGGTGGGAGCATCTGAAGCAAGGAGCTGCCAGAAGCATTCAGAGCAGATGTACACAGAAGACCGCCGAGACGCACCTAACCGTACTGGCCACCGTAGACTAGGTGATATGTGATGTCGGATGAGACGTGGTAGTCAACAAACAAAGCTGTACTTACCAAGCTTGTAGACGAGTGGTTCTCCGCTTGAAGTAGTGGCGTGTGACCACTTTGAACGGGACCATGCAGATTTTAGCACCTGCTTGTGAGATAATTTCCGCGTGAAGATTGCGATGCAACCTACACCGTCGTTGGCGATAACGCAGGTTGAGTCTGAGTGTCAGTTTGCGTCTGGTGTTTCTTCTTAGTAGGTAATTTGAATGTGCCCGGTTGCCACGTACTTGAGATAGTGGTATGTCTATCGCGGAATAAGGTGGTGCCGGAGATAGTAGATCATCATCATCAGAACTGGAGGTCCCTACGATGTCGAGCTTGGGTATGGACGCCTTACTGACATAAAATGAGATGGTCTTATATGACGCTCGTGCATAAGGACGACTCACATTACATCTTCGGCAGCGGGGCTGAGTTTCGACGAGACGCTCATCTGGAGATGTGTCCGTGGAAGATAACAATCTATGTACCTTTGAATCGCTCACCTTCGCCATCTTCATGGTCATTGCTGCCACGACCGGAGGGAGATCATGCGAGTCGATGTCTTCTATACACTCCATCTTCGGAGGCACACCCTCCGCTTCTTCCACCGAAGGTATGTCTGGATTATTACCTGTGTCGAGCGAGCTAAAGTTATCTTTCAACCAGTTCTAGCAAATGTCTAACTTCAGAATCCCGTGCTATGCATTCTATTGCCGCCTACCTCGAATCGCGCTTGGTCCATAGGCTCTGAATGGTGAGCGGCAACCTTAATTTTCTCTCGAAATAGGAGGATGCTCGCGGGCTTTGCAGAGACGAAGAGTCAATGTAGTACACAATGTATCAGATATTGTCGAAGTCACACGTACTTCGTTGCCTTCCAATGACTCAGGCACGCTCTACAAGCTTGGTCAGTGCCGTGGTCGATGGAACAGTGCATGCACAGACCTCCATGTGATCCACTGCGCAGAAATTTATAAACTTGAACAAACCCGACAGAGCGACCTCTTTTGCAATAAATGATATCGCAACTGAGAGGGGGTAATAATGATTGAAGACGATAACAACAACGCATTGGTGGTTGGACAACTACGCTCGGGTTTTCGGTCAGCAGCTGAGGAAAGCCGGGAAGCATCACTAGAGAAGATTAGCGTACAGTTTCTTGCCATTGAGCTTCGTCCGCAATTATCATGTACTGTTCGAGCTGCTCGATGCCGTGGTTAGTGCCGACCAGGCTCAATTTCAATTTTCAATAGGTCTACTTACGTCATCCCCTGAATCATCATCCTCGCTGTCGTTTGAGTACTCCTGTTCGCTACCGGTACCTTCCAATTCGCCGCCTCTCTGGTCTCTGCGGACCACGTTGTCATGACTATCATCCGAGCCGATGTTGTCGTTGTCGAGGGCGTCATCGTCAATACAATCTCCCTCTGCAGTCATTTCAGCAGACACGTCATTGTCTGCAGGTCGTCTACGAATAATTGAGTCCACAAGCCTAACCGGCGATCAGTATCTGAAGCGCCGAATGCGACGAACGAGACGTACGCGCCCGCTCGTACACAGTCTTCAAGCCAAGCCTACGTTGCGTCAGCAATCAGACAAACCTTTAGTACAATGCGACAGTTTCATGCTCACTGCGAAGTCAGCATTTCTAGAGCTTTTCCACATAGAGATGATCCTGCGGGCGTGCGAATAATAGCATTGCGATTGCTACCCAAGATGATCAGCATATCTAGATTGCAGGACTTTCCATCACTCACATGGTCCAGCAGGTATGCGTTGGTAGTTCGCTGCCCGGGAAGAGTCACGAATGAGCATATGCACAAGCTATTGGTTGGCTATTCTTGCCTCGAGTCCTTCGCAATCTAAAAACGCATATCGGACATGGCCGTAAGTTGGCTGAGAGATTAGAGTTACTATCGTGGACCAGATTTTCTCAGAGGCTACTGGGGCACTAGATTTGTAGTATCCCAAAACAAGGGCATTATTCTCGTCGATCTGGTCGTCGCTATAAGATCATGGTATCTGCAATGGATCATTGTGATATAATACGCACAAGAGATTTGAAACGATTGCCGTCCTTGACTGGAATGATGACTGGCTGATGTATGTGTTAACGCACGTGACGCCGCTGCAATTAAGCATAACCTGAATATAATTACACACACCTCTCCTCCGACCTGCATTGATTGCACGGTTTTCATGACCTGCTGCGCACGTACAGTTTGTTCATCGGAATATTGCTGGCTGAGGACAGTGAGGAGTTACCACGAATGGGTTTAATCGTCATGCATCACTCGTTTGCAATCAGTTTCGAGCAACACCTACCCACGTAGCGTCATGCATTCCGAAAGCCATCTCTATTGAACATAAATCAGCATTTTCAAGAGCCGCCAGGCGGAGTCAAGGGAGGTATCTCTTACTCTGAACTCGCCTAGCGGTATGAAGCCGGATACCTCAGCAAAGAGATCACCGCGAGAGAACACTCCAACAGCTGGCACCTAGCCAAACATGAGTAATCGATGTCATAATGCCAGTACTTACGCCGCAGACTCACTCCTTGGCTTTTGATGGCCTCGATCGCAGGATACATTTCACGAGGCGCATCGGTGCAATTAACGCTGTAAAAATCTACGTCTTCAATGACTCCCGTGCTTTCCGCAATTTGCTCAAACACGGGGCGGAACATATGGCAGGGGTAGCATGTTTCAGAGAAGTACACAATGACGGACAGTCTGTCACTGGTAATCTACGAACAGCGAGCAGATGAGCAAATTTTTTCTTGTTGAAAATATAGTACATGATTCTCACCGTCCGCTCGAAGTGTATGAATTCTGATATAGGTACAACCGAGGACATAGTAGAGGGTAGCGCAGAGGTAAGAGAGAGTGGCTGCAGGGTGCCCCGTTAGCTTGCGGGATGATACCTGAATCGCACGCACTGGGAAATTCAGAGTCTATATGGGCCCCTTGACAGCCACAGTTGCGCCGAAGATAACACTGTGGATAGCCTGAGTTGGAAGATCGCCTACGGAGATTAATACCTTGTTTAGTGTAAGATATTCCTTAAACGCCGCAGGTATGTCAATGAGGACGACGCTGTGGTAACAAGTCACGAAAACAATGTCGAAGAACACAGGACCCTTTCCGAGTACCTGATAGCAATGGAAGAAGCGGCGGGGTAATTATGTTACCGGAGCATACAAGTCATGCAGAAGAGGACTTGCCCAACGATTCGCTGGAGAATTGTCGAGTAAAGTGGCATGATTGCGATGGTTCCATTCATCAGACGTAGAGGATTGTCCCGTGCTAGACGTCTGAATTGGAGCGTGTGTAGAACTACCAAAGAGATCTAGTCAGGGTGATTAGGCTTCAAGGGTACCTCACGCACGTGTGGTGTTACGACGATTGCGTGTATGGCCTTCCGTGTGAGATAGGCATGTTTCATATCCTTGAATAGAGTCACTGCATTCCATCCGTATCGCATTGGAAGATGTGCGGCGCGTTTTCGGCCACAGGATCACCCTGAGCGTCGAGAGAGCGATAAGGAGGAGGAGCTATGACGTGAAAGGACGGGAGCGTGGTATTCCTCGACGTCTCTGTACTCCCTAGATAACGCAAACCACCTCTGCCTCGTCCTCGGGTCGTTCAGGGCATGATGATGTCCGGTCTTGTCACCATAGACACGCAGCAGGAATTTCAGGACATTGTCAGTCACATCTCACCTTTACATACACAGAAAAATTACCTTAACGAAGATTTGGCACAGACACGCGAGCTCTCGTGGACTGTCGTCTTATATTCCGCTTCGTGGTGCACAATATGCACCAAATTTAACCCTATTCTTGAGGAGATTACCAAGACTGCGGAGTTCCGAGATGTTCGATTTCGCCGCGTCGATATAGACTTGAAGGTAAGCGGAGCAGCTACGGAGCACAGTTACGAATCTAATCGCGCTTCAAGGAGCCCCAATCGGAGTGGAAGGAGATAGAAAGTGTTGTGAGAATCTTTTGCAATGCAGGGCGGTCGCCAGGCTAACAGCATGCATCAGGTCCCTCAATTACGCATATTCTTTGCTGGAAGAAGAGTCAGCGAGCACAAAGGTTTTCTTGATAAAGACTCCTTACAGGTAAGCACAGACAAGCAACCACCGCGGAAGCGAGACGACAATAGATTTCTACAATCCCAGGCATGGCTTCGCAGCGCTATCGGGCAGGATAGGTATCCATGCGTTCATCTGGATAGCACACCTACTGAAGGGTTCGTTCACCAGAGAACATTCTGCGGGTACGGTTACGACGGAAACTCAGCCTGTGGCTGCAAAACGCCCTGCACCTTTAGAATCGGGGTGAGCGAAAGTTGTCCTCGGGGGGCACTGATTTACTTACCTTGGTGCACTTCGAAGTACTGCTGCCTTGTTCATGTGCACCGGAAAGTTCGAGGACAGGCGAAAACGATCCCTGCCGTTTACGAAGAACCGCAAAGCGTTTTCAGACTTGGAGCCGGGGTGCGTATTCCGCCCAACGGAGGATGACCACGGCATCCTCATCGGTCGTGCCAACGAAGACACCTCGTACTTCGATATTATCCTCTGGACTGACCCCGAGGAGAGCCCTGGGCGGGTGTACTTCAGCATAGACTTCATGCCAGACCCCTTGCGCAGGGCACGGTTTGAGTCTGCGATGTTCGCGGTCGCCTTTGGCGAGGACTCGAGGGAGGATCGTCGCCCACCGTTGACAATCCGCGATCTATTTCCCATTGACGCCGAGGACATGGCCCGGAGGCCCCTGCGTCCGCACTTGCTTGACGAACAGGTCGACGAACCGGAGCCGATGAACGACGCCCCGAGTTTCGTGTCCTCCTTAGACGAACGTACCAGCGGAACCTGGACCTCGACCGTCATCCGAGGTCAGGGTATCCATAGCCCTACGGCGGTTTGGAATCTCTGTGTCGACGACGCTTCTTCTGTACGTCCAGGGGGGCTTGATGCGCACTACAACATGTACGTCACGTTGCCCACCACCAGCCGCGTATGGATGAAGTTCTGGGGAAAGGCGGTGTTGGTTAGAGGCGAGGACTCAGCACTTCCGCTCAAACATCGAGCGACGTTGAAAATCGGCACACTAGAGAAACCGTTCGAGAGGGTGTTAGACTTGAGCGAGGTGTTGAAGGGGAGTAGAGACTCGCAATAGGACGAACTTACCTCTTTCAGTTTTGAGCTCCTTCTATCTTAACGTCGCAAAATAGTACTGCAAGTGAGCAATGATGTTATTGCTTTTCCGGAACTATAATTTTTATTACAATTCATCGTTCGCCATAGGCTTGACGCTTACGCAAATAAGTACCTCGTGCAACCTCGTCGTTTTCAGCACTCACAGCTCCCAAAGGACGATGGTCGACTCTACGATTCAATATTTCAAAAGATACGATACCTTACTCTACACATCACTCATTCGTTTCAATTCTACTTCCCTATTCCGCCTTTCGTATTATCCACTGCCCCTTAATACAAGCGTTCTTCCGCGCGCGTTCACTCGCCCTGAACCTCGACGTAGTTCGCTGCAAAGCGCGATGAGCATTAGCATTAATACACGACATACACCGTACGCACCAGGGAACAAGCCTGCGTTGCCATGGGCATCTTTGCCTTGCCACCAATCGTCCGAGACAGCTTCAATCTCGATGATCTTATCGCCCTCCCGGAACGATAGCTCGTTGTCCTCTGCGGCCTCGTAGCTGCACCGCATGGTCTCGTCAGTTACCATATCGTGAGCGAACTCGCCGACCGGAGATTACGCACTCGTACAAGGCGATAGCCACAGTGCCTTCGTCTGCATGAGCAGCCGCTGGAGGAGGAGGGGGAGGTGGTGGCGGCGGCGGAGCAGGTGCGACGGGCTCGGCCGCTGGGGGCTGCGCAAACAATCAGGTTAAGGGCGGTTCGATTGCACGAACCGTAGACACTTACTGGCGGTGGGGGTGGCGGCGGCGGAGGCGGCGGCGAGGGCGAGTGAGGTGGCTCTTCGGGGGCCTCGGCGCTCTCTACGATCTCCACGTAGTTCGCTGGTTGCGTGGGTCAGCATGCCGCACATCTTGTAAAGAAGAAAGAAGGCTCACCGGGGAAGAGGCCGCTTTTCGCACCACCCTGCCCGACACCCTGCCACCAACCTTCGTCAAGCTGCTCGATCTGCTCGATGAGCTCGCCTTCGGTGAGCGCCATCTCGTTATCCTCCTGGGCCTGTAAATATCCTCGTCAGCCTTCTCTTGTACACAGCCCAGAGAACTGTCATACCTCATATTCGAACTGCACGATAGCACATACGCCTTTGCCGTGCACAGGCCCTGCAGTGGCTGGGGCATGCCCGTGCTCAGGTTCGTGCTCAGGCTCCGGCTCCAGCTCAGGCTCAGGCTGCGGTGCATGGAAAGCAGAGGGAGCTGGCGGGGGCTAGAACCAGGGTCAGTTTGGGTCTCTTAGACGGTAACAGTGTACATACGGGCGGCGGCGGCGGCGGCGGTGGGGGAGGGGAGGGGGTGCTGCTTCTTCTTCTTCCGGTTCCGGTTCAGGCTCAGGCACCGCTGCTGGGGGCGGAGGCGGGGGCGGAGGCGGAGGCGGAGGCACAGTCACCTCGACGGTAGGCGCACTTGGGCGAGTAGCCATAGGCGGAGGCGGCGGCGGAGGCGGCTGCAGGCGAAGGTCAAGATACGTAGTATGTATAAGCTAAAGCACGCACCGGAGGATACGGCTCTTCCTCTTCCTCTTCAGGTTCCGGGGCAGCGGCCGGAGGTGGAGGCGGGGGAGGTACACCGCCGAATGAGCGAGTTGGGGTCGTAACAGCAGGAGCCTGGTATGACGCAGCCCTGCTATGTGTCTCTTCTTCTTCAGCCTGCTTCTTCGCGAGAGCCTGGCGTTCGCTCCAGGTCAGCTTCTTGCCCGCACCTTCGAAGATATCAGCATAGAACATGTATGTTTCAAAGCGTGATAGTCACCTGAAAAACTGGTTTTCGGCTGTGCGGCCTCGGTGGTCGTCTGCGCTTCCCTCGCAGCGAAAGGATTGACGAGTTTCTTCGGCTGCAGCTTAATCGGGGTGTAGGCGGTGCCGACTGGACCAATACGATCATCCTCTGCGGGTTTCGTTGGCGCATTCGCAGAGGGCGGGGGTGGAGGTGGCGTAGCGGCAACAGCGGGCTTACCATCACTTAGTCGATACTTCGTACATGGATAGTAGAAATGATGACATACCGAAGGCGTGGGCCTACTCATAGTCACGACCGGAGGTCTGCTAGCAGCAGGAGGCGGTGGAGGTTTGTTGACGGCGGGTGCATCCCAAGCGTCGTCTGGCGCAGGAACCCTGCCACCGCCAGCGACCGGTACCCTGCCTAAGCCGGGTGCAGATGACGATGCTATAGCTATCGACCTTGGCGCACTAGGCGGAGGCAGCGGGCGAGCCGCTACAGGTGGTGCGGGGACAGAGGCTGGTGCGCCGGAACGACGCATCGCATCGATATCGGGACGGCCGACTGGAATGTAGTTGGTGCCAACAGGCGCGATCGCCTCGACTCTGCGAGGGGCCTCCCTGTGGGCCGAGTACCTGGCTCCAGATGCAGCTTCGACTTTCGACATGATTAGTGCAGGGGACACGTCGGCCTGAAGCGCTGCAATTGGTAACGTGAATGCACAGCAGACGTTAGTACGCACCTCATTGCGTGCGCTGATAACGACGTGTGTACCGCGCAGGAAGTTGGCAACGGCAGTCGAGTGGCTGTAGAAGAGACCTTTGCGTGCCTGTGGTACACCATCGCCGCACCAGTTGATCTGAACGAACTTGGACAGCTCGCTCTGCAGGACGACTCAGCGACGCGTCACAAGGTCGGCAGCGACAGCTTACGTTGGGATCTTTTACTCGTGCAAACGCATATTGCAATCTATGTGCAGGATTGGGCGCCGCGCAATGTTTGAAGGGGAACGAACACGCACCGAGCATCCGAGAACTCCTCCTCAAGCTCTTCGAGCCCTCCGCTTCCCGTGGCTTGCACTTTCAGGTCATTCGACCCTTTCTCGTATGCGAACAACGCCCAATCAATCCCTCTTGAGTTCAAGACATCCTGGTACGCCTGCAGTATATCTCTGCTCGATAGGTTGACTTGGAGGGACATTCAGGTGGTAGTAGAGTGTAAACGTTTCAGAGACTGGGGCGATGACACCAAGTTACGTAGTGTTCCCACAATAAGCGCAGTGCTTATCTCCTCGAGTTCCCACGATCAATTCCCGTTTACCCCGCGTTTCCGACCCGAGTTCCGAACTTGAGCTCAGTACATTACCACTGATTTCTGCCTCACGGACTGTCCCCAGACTTACCCCGTAACGACCTGCAAACTTAGACCTGCCAGATTACTTTTCTTTCAGGGCTTACGTTAAACCATATGTCTTCAGGAGATGATCATTGCAGAGGTGCAGTAATGCTACGCGAGCAACGCTTCGCGTCCTATACCATACTCATTGTATTGCCTTGCAGCTCAACTCGACCCTCGTATAGACCTGTTTGCTGGTTCTGTAGCTGGTAAATACTTTCACTTGTGCTGTCATTATCTCGTTTACATAGTTTACGTCTGCTCGCAGGGATTGCTGCATTATTCGTAGGCTTTCCTCTCGACACGGGTCAGTCGACGGCCGCCAACTAATCTCCCTAGGGCTCACAACGATGCTAGTCAAGGTGCGATTACAGAGTCCGAAGATAGCCTCGCGGTACCATTCTGCCCTCCATGCGTTTACGACTATTGTGCGCGAAGAGCGGGTACGGGGGTTGTTTCGAGGTATAACTTCACCATTAGTGCGTTCAAACGATAGCTTGCTTTATGTAACCACTGATTATAGTTCGATTTTTGCAGCTTACCATGGCACCTTTGAATGGTGTAGTATTTGCGTCGTACCGCTTCCTGCTCAAGCTGCAGCTCGATAAACCCGACGTTAAGCCCACTCTAACACAAGTTACGCTTGCTGGCATGGGCTGTGGACTCCTTGCTAGGTATGTGCAGCACCGTTCCTCTTTACGCTACTTCTAATCGCAAGTCCTTTCCTGTCCCTTGCCAATCAACGTGTAGCATTGTGACCTCCCCTACCGAACTCATCAAGATCCAGCAGCAAACGATGATTGTTCCCAAGTCCGGCGTCGCACCGACAGCCAAGGACGTTGCGCTCGCAATATATCGCACGAGCGGCGTCCGCGGGCTCTTTCGTGGACTCGTGCCGACCGCGATTCGCGAGACGGGCTTCGGCGCGTACTTCGGCGTGTACGAGGGCACGCTGATGCTGTGCTCGCACCTGTCGGCGCGGACACATATCCTCGAGGCCGACCCGCGGAAGCCAGGCTCGGAAGGCGTCGTCTCGAAAGAGCCTCATTCATACTGGGCGCTGCTCCTGGCGGGCGGACTCGCAGGTGTTGTGAGCTGGCTCGTCACGTTCCCGTTCGACGTCATCAAGACACGAGTGCAGTCCACGGTTGCACCTGCTCGGGATCACCCTTACCGCACCGTTTTCTCGACCATCGTGAACTCATACAGGCAGGAAGGCCTCGCCGTGTTTTTCCGCGGCTTGCAGCCGACGCTCATACGGTGCGTTCTCTTGTCTTCGGATGAAGATGTATGTCCTCATCGTCCTTGGAATAGTGCGATACCGGTAAACATGGTGACATTCGCGACCTTCGAGACAGTAGTTCGTGCTATGACATAGATAGAGTCAGGCAACGGTTCCCAATAGATGCGCCAGCACCCCTCCGCCAGCTAGTAGTCATAGCTAATACCCGAAGCATAACGAACGAATCCATTTCAGCAGGCATGTACATGCTATCACGAATCCAGTCAACTACCGTCAGCAGGAATTGCCTCAGCTTCTGCGTGAGCTGGCTGGCAGTTAAATGTGCGCTCCGCACAGCTGCGGATACTTGACAAATTGCCGAGTCGTCGCGATCCGCGCCCACTTGGGGAAACAGGTCGAGACGACAAGGAGCCGCACAACAGCGTGACTCATTGTATGTCGAGAACCAGACACACGATGTGTTCACTGAGGCAATACAATGTCTGTGCCATGGGCTTCACCGCTCTGTAGCCATAGGGGTACGATAGATACAAGGTTAATATAGCGACGGTTGATTCATCTGAGGGTTGTGTATTTGCGCAAAAATAAACTGGTAAAATGGTGCGGACCGTCGCTCCTCGCTAGATTCCCCTCCGAGCTATGTTGGTGTAATTATGTATCTTGTGCTCGAACGAAGGCGGCGTGTTCAAGCAAACCGTGCGTGGCGAATGGGTACATCTCTGCGCGATCTGGATGCCGGAAACCCGTGTGGTGAACAATGTCTTCATGGAGCCAGTTAATGGTGTCGATCGGATTTCGAATCAGAGGTGGAAGCTGGCCAGTGTAGATTCCCCTTCGATTTCTCTGCTTTCCACGCCACACGCGCGCGCAAAGACATGCTGATAAAGGCGTCCCAAGGTTCTGAGGCGCCAAATCTCGCAGCATACTGCGAGAAGCAAGTGCGTCAGCGTCTCAGCATCTTCGTGTGCCAAAATCGAGTACCCGCAGAGAGAGCAGGCGGAGGCTCGTCTAGATCTCGCAGCCCTTAATTTTGAGCAAAAAACAAACAAACAATGATGCGCTTGACGACAAAGACGCGAGCCAGTCTTCCAGGACCACCTGCGTATGCGCGAAGACGTACAAGCCCGGCCCGCCACTTGTGCCCAAGGTCATCGTCAACCGCATCATACAGTACGTAGGGCGGATCGGCATCCGCCAGAAGCGCGAGTTTGTCGTTCTCGTGTGCAAGTACTGGAGCCTGAAGCGTACGGGGCGCCGCTGCTCAAGCGACCCCGCCTGGAGCCGTGGACGGCCTCGGTGGGTGGGGGGAACCAGAGCGATGAAGACAAAGCGTTTAATCTCACGGTACGTGGCTTGCCGGTGTGTAAGCATGAACAGGGCCGACCTGTTGCCTGTTCAGCTGCTCAAGGGTCTTCGTGGCGACCTCGAGCGGCTGCGGACGCTACTCGAGGGAGTACAGAAGTTGAGACAAGCGAACTATATTCAGCAGGTCCTGCGCAATACCCTCTATCCCGTCCACCCGGTTATGCAGAGTGTTCCAGAACATTAGGATGCAAGTCGTTCCTCAGCTAATCACGAGTATTTCCTCAGTTCAGTCTCGAAAGCAGACGCCTATGACGTCATCAAGCGCCTCATGTCCTAAAGTGTCATTGACAAGAAGCTGACTGAACATCAGTATCTCGACCTCCAGGAGTTCAAGGCAAGCAGTGATGCACCGCCACCGCGCTCGTCTCAGAGGCTAACAGGAAGATATTTCAGGATGATGTTCTCCTTGTCCTTAATAACTCTATGCTTTATAACAAGCTCCAGACAGCGTACTTCAGGGTTGCTCGTCGGATGAAGAACTCTGCGGAGCGCGCTCTCCCTGAGTTGGATCGCTTCATGAACAAAAGCCCGCCTGCGCCCTTTGCCGGACAACCTGACCTGTCAACCCAGCCTGAACAGCCGGCGTCGGCGACTTAGAGCCCTCGCTGCCTATGCTCTACCACCTCGTTGATCCAGATCGAATCCGCAAAGAGCGTCGTTTCACACTCAACGAGTTGTCCATCGACTCGCTCTTCAGCTACGAGGTCTGCGAGCTGAAGCCCCCGCCGACTCCTCCCCCTGATTCTGCCAGTTCCTGCACCGAATGAAAGGCGCGCGCAAAGAAGCGGCGAGCGTTGGCTTCTACCAGCGCCAACGCGGTGCACCCGAAGACTCGACGCGGGAGAACGGCTGCGGGTATAGCAGCCGCGGAGGACCCGCTCATCGAGCCTCCCGCTGAACCCCCCTATCGAGGTCCAGTCCGAAGTCCGAGTCGCACCGACACAGCCCGTAGAGGGGCATGTCCCATAACCGCCTGTCCCAGAGCACGAGCAGCCTGCCACTGAGGGGAGCTCCCGGCGAGGCGGCGGCGGCGGCGGCGGCACTCAGAGCACTGGTAAAACGCGTGCTGGCTATGCGACCGTGCCATGCCGAGGCGTCGCTCGCCGTGGACGACGTCGACGCGCGCCAGTCGTTCTCCAGGTTCGACGAGGGCTGGATTTTGCTCAAGGGCCTGCGCCGGCATCCGCGCCCGCCGTTAGAGAGGGCAAGCGAACTGAGGCGCGCGAATGCGCGGACTAATGAGTGTCTTCCCTTTGCCGTGGTCGTTGCAATGTAGTGTGCTGATGTGAGTGCACCACAATGAACGACTGGAGTCAGCTACGTCGAATGTCACTGCACGGTCTGTTGAGCCTGCGCCCGAGCCCGAACCTGACTGGCGCGGAAGAACGTCAATCCTAGTTTAGCCGTAAATGCCCGCCGTTGCTTTGAGAGCAGCAGTTTAAATTGTTCAACCATCGCAGAGACAACAAGATCGTATTGGGCTCAGTATTTAAGCACAGATCGACAAACATTAGTCCCCTTAGAGAGGAACCAGGTATTGTCAGAGTTTTCAGAGCTGGAGCACACCCGGGAGGACTCAGAGAATGGTGAACGTGGGGCTGAGGTTCCCAGAGTCGCCGAAGACTGCCACATTCCAGCGCTCAGTAACGCTGACGAAACTATAACATTAAAACGAAAGTACTCACGGACGATCGCGTAGTCATCGCCGGCGATGGTGTCCACGGGGATGGTGACGGGGACAAAGCCAGCGCGAAGATCGAAGCCCTGGGCCAGAGGATTGGCTGAAGAGCGCCCCGTCAGGAGCCACAGCGGCGCCGCAGAACAGTCATGTACGCACCTGAGTCTAGGACCCCGCCCTTGGCCAGGACGACCTGAGAGCCCTCGCTGATGTCGGCAGGAGCGTTGGAGGTGTCCCTGTATGCGCTCTATTCAGTCCCGGGATTACGTCTGTCATAGTTGCGCCATACCAAGTGATATTGTGGGTATCCCCGGGGAGCCAACGAACACCTGCGGTGGGCGAGGTGATCGTGGGGTCCCAGACGTCCTGGGGACGAGCGACCACGCTGACAGCGGTGGCAAGGAGAGCGGCGAAGAGGGTGGTCTTGGAGAACATGCTCGTCGATGTGCAGAAGTGAATTCTGGACTGGAGACATTCTGGACCAGTCAGACTCGTATTTATACATTGCAGGTTGCGGGCTTGCGAGGCCGTTGCAGTTGCGGAGAAGCAGACTCGCGCCGACTCCCGAGCCCTCATAACGGATTTAGCAACACAAAAAGCAGCTCAAGCATAAGCGATGCCATACCTTGCTGGAGACGTATAGCGAAGCCTGGAACACCGCCGACCATCGTGGCAAAATCATTGTACGTGAAGAGAAGTCTTGGGTGCCCACCCTTTGCCCGAGCCGTGCATACCGAGGGCGGCGTTGTGTTGTCGGCCCATTGCATACTACAAGGCAAGGTGAACAGACAAATTGAAGAAAACTGCAAGCCATGCCCAATGTTGCGAGAATCCTCTGGGACTCAGCGAGTATCAACAGGAGAGACGGTACGCAGCGTTGCGTAACACGCACTAGCGGGGAGCGCAACGGGCCAGATTCGGAGGGACTGGACACCACACGATGCTCAGGTCAAATGCAGTTCGCGGACCCAATGATCATCGTTGGCTGGCACAGCTGTCTGTACGCGATCAGAGTCGGACAGAGTTAAGCCCGAGCACAGTGCATAAACGGGCATTTGTCTCACCAACATTTCGCGAAGGACGCACTGGTTCAAGGCGGACACAGCGGCGGAAAGACGGCGGTGGCCGGTAGAGCAGACGTTCAGAGTCGTCTTTGCAGGTCAAAGTACAGCCAAATGGGCCACACGACGGACGAGCCACGGGTAGGGACTGTCTGGCGGCGAGTAGCTCAGACTCAGCTGCGGAGGACTTGTGCACTTGAGTATATCACAATGTCATGTGCAGGGTGCGCAACTTAAGGCACAGCAAGGAGGTCCACCTGCCGTACAAAGACAAAAAAAAATTGCTTCTCCTCCGTTTAAGCTGAGAGAAAGAATACCACGGCAAAAAGAGCTGCGGAACGAGCAGCCCGTCGCGAGAATATACGGATCGTCGGTGAATGATTCGCCGAAAGCACTCAGAGCATGTTACGGCTTGTGCTATCCACGATGTGATGGCAGAGCCTTTATGCGGTAGCAGCTAAGCTCGTCGCTTCGGGCATGATTGCCCCGGTATTTGCACCGGTGTTTGGCTCTGTTGGCCGAGCTCTCCGAACCGGCAAATGCCGTCCCCCCGTAACATCGAGATGTAAGCAGCAGCCACTGCAAATCCGATGCGCCGCGATCGAACCTTCGTGGACTCAGAGCGCAAGCAACAGGTGCGAGTAGAACCGGATTTCATGACTACCGTACAGAGCTTCACGGAAGTTGACCAAGCTGGCCATCAGCGAAAGTCAATTAATTGAGCATAGTCCGGAGCCGCCCCTTCTGAGTTAGCTCGTCTGGTCTGCGTGCGTCCAAATGGAGATGAGATCGGTGTGACATCCAAGGGCTAAGGATGTGGTGCAACGAAAATGTACAAATACTGAGCAAAGGTGATGAGGCTTATGCGTTAATGGCCGACGATGATTAAATTTTGGCGCTGACCACGGCCAGATTCCCAAATCCTTCTTCGAGCAAACGCAAAATGTATGTGCAAGCAGTTGTCCAAGTAACATTTTCTTGGTCCTTCGCCGAATGACAAATGAATTATATTACGTGATCAATGGAAGGGGATCGGGAAGATCGGCCTCCTTTCTAGATTAGGTTTGGCACCCCTGCCCCGATGGCCAATCATCTCGGCCATCTCGCAAACGTTAAGTGTTCGACGACACACTGGCCATGGTACGGTTGCCGAGCAGGCTCAGGTCAAATTCCCAAAACCCAAGTCAGAAACCCAAATCCTTGCCCAAATCTGATACCATCAGCGCTCGGATAACCACCGTACACCACCAACCTGCGAGTGCACTGGCGCCTCTTACTCTGAACATTTCGAGCGTTTTCAGCACAAATAATCGATTAATATTGCATGTGTCCAAGGTTAGAAGTTGAATGAAGCATGTCAATTATCATTGGCAGGCCAGGCGGTGGGGTGAACAGCGATGGCGGCATTAGGCGCCCATTTTCCGTATGGAAGCAGCGTGTCGGGGCTTGGCCGGGGCCCGGAGCACCCTTGCCGTCGGAGTCGTTGCAGGCGTGCTTGACCTTGCCCTCCTGTGTAGCTATTTTAATAAATGTATGTATATTATCAGCTGCTAATTTGGCTATGATCAATATTACCTAGTGAGAACAAGTCATGTTACTGTACCAATACTCGCTATATTTTAAGGTGATAGACACAGCCAGCGCAGTCCTTGTGCTGCTGACTTAGGGTTAGGTTCTAGATAAGATAATCGAAGCTTAGGGCGCTTGATCACCGATTTGATAAGCCTGGGTTAGATAATGGTCCTCCGCCCGCTACTACTCTTATTGACCTCAGAGTATACAGATACAGCACATTACATGCTTTCATAACATCTAAAAGACCTAAAAATGCCATACATAACCCAGACTGATGTCTGTGTGTGAAAAGGTGCTGGGGGCGCTCATTACACGGTTGGCCATCAGCTTTGTGATCCGGACTTGGGTTTTGGGGATTTGACCTGAGCCTGCTCGGCAACCATACATGGGCACTTGTACGTCTATTTACCCTCATATTACGCATATGTTTTACACGTGCACTAGTGCTGCAGATTGACAGTTTCTGACTCCGAATCTTAAGATTCACGTTTTGCTCAGACTCCTCACCATCATCCGTGGGCAACAAGGCTGCTGGGTCTCGCCGGATGCTGAAGCGAGCACTTTTTATGATGAGTCATAGTAATTGTGTAAACATGAGGACGCCATACTGCCCACGGGGGACTGGCACATAACACATGTAAACAATGCACGCCACCATCATTGGACCATGAAAGTAAGCCTTGGATGTAGTGTTGCTGCAGATGAGCCACGAGTTGGACCAGTCCAAAATCCAGCATTATCTGCACGTGGCAGATAATGATGAGTTGGCCGCCAGATAATTTGGCAGGTTGTGGGAAAGCTGACAAAGACACTATATATGGTAGGCAACTGTACTCACTGAGCAGACGGAGACTGGCGAGGCTCAAGTGGGGACAGCGTAGCAGGTGTATTAGTAAATTATTAGGATTCAGTCTCATTAATAGCTTCTCTAGTTCGTTCACATGGCCTTCTGCAACTATTCTATCAATTTGTTCTACTGAGACTGCTGGTGCCAGATCACCCTCGGAAGCCAGCCTGCCGCCTCTCACCACACTGCCGCAGATACAAATGCTTCAGAATTTGAAGCCTTTCCATCACTTCGGGGGACAAATTAATCCTTTGGAGAGTATCCATCTCCTTGCTCGATGAGAAGACGTGCTCGCACGGGACAGCAGAAGCTTGCACAGGCAGGATATCCAGTGTGATGTGATAGATCAGAGGAAAGCGATATTGATTGGCCTGTAACATAGTAAGCGACAGTAAGATAATGCACTGCAGTGACGTACCTGCCAGGTGTGACAGATATCAAAGCCCAGCCCTGTTTCAGTGTCAGGGAGAGCACCTCCCTTCTCATACCGAGTTGCCTCTTCCTCAATGGCGGGAGCATAATCTGTCCCCAAAATGTGACTATCGTTGACATCTGGCTCGATGATGGCTGCCTCGGACTGTACACTGCTCTTTTGAGCTGTAGCTGAGGTGCTTACAGACTCATCAGAGAGTTCTCGGAGCAATTCGCGAATGCAGCCTACACTGTGAGCCTGTGAGTGAGCTGTGAAACTCTGAGATGATGGTGGAGACGGGCCACTGGGGAGAAGATTGAACTGTGAAGAACAAAGCTGTCAAGCATTTATAAGTAATACACCCAGGAGTAAGTTTAGCGTATATGTACAACGAGGAGATCTACGCACTGCTTCTCAAAGCCAGCACTGGGCATCTGCAGCCTCCTTGGCTGTCCAGTGCTTGTCTATCCAGGTAAATTTGAAACCAGGGTGTACAACTGAAAAAAAGGCTTGGTACGACGAATTTTCCATTAAGAAAAATATGGTGCTCATCCATTGCAACAGCATATGCTTTGCTTTTCTGTGTGATGCTCAGATATTTGTGCAGCTGGCCGATTGATGCATTGATTTGACAGCGGTGCTGTGCCCTCACTGCGTCCGCGTTTCTGCTTCGGTGCTTGTACTGGCTGTGAAGGCGACTGGGCTGACACTGAGACAGCCAGCCTGGGGCTCTGAGGTGTCAGTGCAGCTAAAACAGAAGGAGAGGGCTGACTGTGAAGATGTGGACCAGCAGGTTGAAGTAGGTGCGGATAGGCTGAGTGGTGCCAGTAGAGAGTCACAGGCAGGTGGGGACGACTAATGGGGTCTTCTCGTTGCTGGGCCTGGCTCATAGCATGGGTTTGAGGCTGAGAATGAGAACCAGTGGGCTTGTTTGACACAGCTGCACCTGATGTATTATAGCTGAGCACCAGAGAGAGAAAAACGCGCAGAGTGCACTGTGTACTTCACACTCGGGAGCCAGATTATTGACCTGTAAAGTGTGGCTTGAGTCGCTTGTTGTTTCAAGTTGAAAGACACATACCAGCTGCTCTGGTCTCTGGGCAGTAGCTCGTACAGTAATCAGGTCTTGTGTGATTCTTTCAAATAAATATATTGATCTGTCATGTTACTCTAGCAACAACCTCAGGAAATAACGGAGGTGAAAGGGGGCAAATACAGCTACAGGCAATGAATCGAAACACGAGAAACACTTACCATGAACGCGATGCGTTCTCATGCAGTCTTGCGTGACCGCGTCGACTTAGAATTGATGGATGGTGCCTGAGTCGGCATTCTCCGAGTGGCCTGCAACGAGTTATCCGGCTTGAATCTGTGCCCATCCGGATTGAACAGATTGGCGACCTGTCAGGCCGGATCGGATTCTATCCGAATAGAATCCGAATCCGTGGCAACACTACTTGGATGTCAGGAATATCAAAATAATCAAGAAAAATGAGTGCGAGTATTCTCGGCCGCATCCCCTACCCTCCTGTGTCCCAAGTCTGGTTTGCTGGTGGTAGGCCTGCAGTGGGGGCAACATGGGCCGTTTAATGTGGGTGTCATGGTAAGAATTGTGTGTTTAGTCGACTGGATATCAGCAAGAAATCTGTCTTGCTGCCATTTCCGTATAGTGTACAACAGGTGAAGCATCACGAAGACCAAGAACAGTTAGTTTCTGGCTCTGTGAAGGCAATCCTCAACTCAATGTTTTCAATGTCCCAGCTCACCCTGACATGATAGAAGTCATCTCCAAGACCTTCGGTACCAATACCTGCATGAAGGGCACGTGACATCACTTGACATCAGTGTTTCACGGCTTGGTGCAGGGCACCTGTTGTTCTCAACAATGGTACCAACATCCTGCTGGCTTGACCATTGCCTAACTGGCAACTTCAGCAGTGCATTCATGTGACAAGCTTACAAGTGTTATCTGCTCAGCAAGATAGATCAAATATAGCTAATATCAAGTGTCTAACACCTGATTGGGCCAGCCATGCAACAACAGTACAAAGTTGGCAACTGCCTCCATATGCCATGTCCCCTCTGTCATTCCTGCAACAAATGCTAGCATCATCTCCTTGTCCATGCCTGTCATACCTCTGATGACGAGCCCTTTGCACTAGTGAGATCAGCGATCTATATCATTTGTGCCCTAATCTTTGTCTTGAGATGTTCGGTGATAGTCCCGGGACTGTATAGAAGTAGTCCAAAGGCGAGGGACGGACAGTAGAGGTGCGAGAGTCATGTGAGAAAAGGTTGGCGTGCTGCAGAGCCTTCTGTGCACGCTTGTCATACTGTTGCGAAAGTATATCTCCTAACCCTTAGTAACAGCTCCATCTTGAATAAATTTGCAGCAGACTTATTTGTTCAGCTTGCTGCAAGACCTAAGCCTTAATAGACATGAGCTATTACAATAGCCTGCAGAGACATGAGTTATTCGGGACGCGTTCTCTCATCGCGCTAAATCACGCATGGTGCACCGCTCTCATTTGGGATGTACATCTGATGGTTTTCAATAAACCTTGCGAGCATTAACGGAAATTTGCATCAAAAGCACACGTGGTTGCTGAGCCCAACGCGCACATGCTGGCGTGATGCCGTTGTTTACCAATGTTTTGTGCCAGTTACAGCATCGGATGAGTTTAGCAAATAGCAATGACTCATCAGTCCCGTGGACTGAGACGCTGGTCTCAACATCCACAGACATACTGGTGAGGAGTCTGCGTTTTGCTAGTATTCTCGAGCAAGTGGTGAGAAGTTTGGGAGTGTGTGAATTTCTTTGCCCCTTCCCTCCTCGTCCTCGTCCTCCCTCTCCTGAACTTGGGTAACTCTCTGGCACACATTCCTCGCTGCCTGCCATGCAGCCCGATCCTTGGCATGAACAAGCGTCAGATGAATAGCTGTTCTGTGCAGCGGCACTAGGTCGCTGCTGAGGGGAGTATCAAACGGTCAGAAATGTAATTACTCTCGGTGGCGGCAAGGAACGTTACGGCCATGCCTACCATAATGTCTGGGACGAAGCAATCCTTCCCCAGTTTGAGAGTAGAGCAGCTCCGCTACTTGCACTGGACTCTGGCTACTTATAACACGACTCAAGTGCCTGAGATGGCTCTCCACTGCATCGCTCGCCATATCTGATTCCATTCTTGCTCCTACCCCGCCTTCACTTCCTGCCTTCACCAGTCTTGAGCCGCCCATGAATTCCGACGCGTGGGTCATCGGCCGTGACTGGCTCGCCGGTCTTACCACTGACAACCGCGGGGTGCACAGCCTCGTCTCCTCATCGCCGCTCATCGACCCGTGGTGGCGCAGCGTCTTTGCGCTCACCTGCCAGGATCTCTGCACCTTCTTTGGCTGCGCCAAGGTTGAGACATTCCTTAACGACCACCTCGCCGAGAGTGGGTCTGGCAACGTTGCCTTTATCAACGCTGTATGCCAGCTTGCAAGAACTGACCTTGTCTGAATCCTCGTGCGTCTCTCGTTCTGGACCCCGGTAGCCATCGGCAAGTACATTGCATGCCTAATGTACCGCTCCGACAGCTCCCAATGCATTGTCATGGTGTCTTCCTGTCTCGATGAGCTCAAGGACCATCCGAAGCTTGCGAGCGCAGACTGCAACCCTCGCAACAGCCAGGGCGGACTGGATTGAGTGCTTGAAGGAAGTCGAGTACGCAGACAAGTATTTTGAGATGCTGGTCATTGGCAGAGGCTAAGCTGGTCTTCAGACCACAGCTCGGCTAAAGCAGCACAAGTTCAACCATCTAGTCATCGAGAAGAACGCCCATATTGGAGACAGCCGGAGGATGCGCTACGCTTGGACCTTCATGACCGCATATGCGTGTATTTGTTTGCACTCTGTATCCTTCAATCTACACTCATCGCGAGCAGGGTACAGTTATTTGACCTACCTCCCGCGGGTCGCGAGATTACTAGGGTGGCTTGTGCTCTTGTCTGACTTGTACATTCAGATTCCCCTTCTCTTGGCTAATCCTTTCTTCATCCAAGAAGTTACATCACTCGCTTGTAAGCCTGTGATTCTGCTCACGAACTGTCGCCGCAGTTGCCAGACTGGCTAGAGTTCCGGAGCTCACTGTCTGGTTCTCCTCGGAGGCCGCCAGCGCGGTCTGCAACAAACACGCCAATGAATGGGATGCCGTCGTCCGGCGCGCAGGCGGCTCTAAGCGGACGATGGATATTGACCACGTCGTGCTCGCCCACGGATTCTCGTTCAAGAACACGGTCTTCCCTGGACAGGTGCGTGCGTCTATTCCATACACGGTGTCTACGCTTGCTCATTAGGATGCCTCTTGAACAGGACAATCTTCAAGGACAACTTGTGTGCTCGAGCGAGTTCAAGACAGCGAAGGGCCTCGAGGGCAAGAAGCTGGTCATTATCGGCACTTGTTCTTCAGGTACATCCTACATCCCTAAGCGTTTCCTCTAAGCTCTCAACCTTACCATCTCTGCTGTAGTACGCGATATTGCTTCCGACTGTGCAGACAAAGGCATTAGTAAGAAGGCAATATAGCAGACTTGGGTGCCCCTCTACTGACAATCCAACAGACGCGGCCATGGTTCAGCATAGCTGGATATGCTTCATATCCATCAAGAAAGGCATACTTGCCACTTTGGCCCGTGGGCCTCTTGTCTGCTTTTCAGTGAGCCGTCTAACACGGGCCTGTACTCAGGGACGATATGGACAAAGGAGGTGCTCAAAGAGGTGGACAACTACTGGGTGTCGATGCTCTTCTACTTCAAGAAACCCCTCACGCAGCGCCCAATGGCGTATTTTTGGTACCTCGACACGTGTGTATGTTAAAGTGCGACTGAACTCTTGCTTTATTCTGTGCTACAGGGCCAGTATATATACATGTGAATCAGGACCTCTGATACCACTATAAGACCTATGGTACTGTGAGCGTAAGCATG